AGAAGCTGCATTCTGCTGTCTCTCATCGACCACAACCTGTCTGGTCTGAAAATCACGAACGAATAAATTGTGCGAGGGTTTAATGAAGAGGCACCCCACAGACTCTCAAGTGGGCAGGCCTTGTCAGAGCAATCCCACAGGAAGGAATATAAGCAGTGTCGTCGTTCACTGCAGCTTGTTTTAGACAGTTCAGAATATACAGTTTGAAAGTGTTTAGAGATGTGTATTTTGTACAAACTGATGATAAATAAAATAATGTTGCTATTGAGAGTCCGTCAGTTTTGTTCTTTTTTTTCTTATGAATGTATAGCGAGGCACACAGTATGGCAAGGACTTGCAAAATAAATTGTGCCATTCTGGGGTGAAATACAACAGTGTGACCATGCAATGTGTGTTGGATGTCGTAATGCAATTAAATGTTGCTTGCAATAAGTGAAAGTGTGCTCTAGAAAGTAGCCGTCATCACCAAGCGTGTAAGAAAATTCTTCAGTGCTGATCTTGCATTGACCTAACGAAGCCCAGCTGTGGAAATATTATCTTCATTCATGAATTATGAGTTATTGATAAATGTGTAAAACATATATAGTTTAGTTTTACTGCAAAGCCTTGAGTACAATGCTGGAAAGAAACTTAAGGGCACAGGGTAGAGCAAAATTTGGAAAAAAATCACTTTTTCTTTGCAATTTGGAAAAGGTGTCTCTTTGTGCATATTTTACACATTTGCACTTTTCTTAAACAGCATTTTTTGTGGCTCTGAAACAGTTTTTCCAAAAGCACGTAGTGAGTGAATGGCACAAGTTCCTCGTACGAGCTTTGTGCTTAGTCTAATTTTATGAAAAAATACTTCATGTACGAAAGTTAAAATGTTTGTTTAGAATCTGCTGCATAGGTTGGCAAAACTTGTGGAACTCACTGGGACTCTCTCATGAAATATATCTTGCACTTAGGACTTACTCGGCCTCACCAAAGTTCTTCTGAGCTGGACTCGCACTCACACAAATTTTCAACTGGACACCAACTCGTCAAAATGTTACTCACCTGGACTTGCCCAGACTCATGAGTTTGTTAGGCTAGAATTATGTTTTTCTACCATGATGTCAATGCTCTGTAACACTAATATCTCGCGTAATCGGTGCTCTTCTTGGCACCTTTTGATGTAGTACCTCCAAATACAGGCTATGAGTACTCGTAAACTTCTTGAAAGAGATGCCAGGATAAAGTATATTTATCATAAACTTTCTTCGAAGAGTTGGTGGGGGAGGGGGGGGGGGTCAACACCCCCTCTTATATAATTTGTGCCTCTAATCAATAAATGTTGAAATTGTGTATGAAAGACACTGCTTTGGAATACGTGTAAGCAGACGGGACAAGACATGTGAATCCAGGTAAAGCTAATGGCAATACTGAAGATGAGTAGATATAACAGATGGCAAAAAAAAAAGTTGAACTCGCTCAAGAAATATATCTGGCGCTTTGGGTTCACTCGGACTTGCACTCATAAAAATTTTCTTCAGTTGGACTCGCTCAGACTCAAGCTCACCAAAATATTACTCACTCGGACTCGCGGCTCAATTTGAGTCTGAGTGAGTCGGCTTATGAGCGAGTTCGCTGACCTATGATCAGCTGTGTATAGAGAACTGTCAGGTAACTTCTGCGGCAGTCTGAAGATACTGTGCGCCGTTATATCCACACGTCTTCAGAGCACATAAGTTCGTACACTTGCAGTTCCTTGCTTCATTACACCATGTGTTTGTCTTGCTGGATGTTAAGTTTAGATGCTGGGGGTAAACAAGATCTTCAGCAGGTGTAAATTTCGCTGCAACCCATATAGTTCTCTTGTAACTGAGGTGCTGAACGCTGAACCAGTAAGCTATTCATTGTTGAACCTCTCAGCTTTTTCAGTGTCCTTCGAGGCAAATTGCATGCATGGTGACAACGGGTATGGTATAATGGATATGACTATTATTTGTCATGCAATTAGACCTAATAGCGTGTGAGAACAGCTCTGTGTAAATGGTGAGTTAATAAGCATTGAGTCGAAGAGTCAGTCTGCTGTCTTTGCTTAGATTCAGAGTTGCAACACCGGATATTGTTCTTGCATGTAATAATGATAGTATTACACGTGCCAAAAATTTTCAAGTAGTTAGGATTAAAGCCTAGCCAAAGTACAGTGAATTCGCTGAAAAACATTGACCACAATCGACGATACCTTGCGGATACAGCTGCATGGCATCTCACAGAAAAAGCAAGACAAGCGTTATGAGAGGTTCCAAAGTGAGAAATTGACTTTAGAAATGATTACAAAGCTTGTAGGTGCTAAATAAAATAGTTTAACAGTGTTGGCAACAAAGTGTGACCACTTTCCAGCCGTTTTCTAACTTTCAACTCGAAACTATGTTTTTTATTAGGTACCATTATTTCCTATGTATTCCAAGATAACCAGTTGAATATCTTTCCTTGTATTTCGCATAGATACATAAAGCTACTTAAGAAGAATTGAAGTTATGCACTTTACACTTTTTATGTAACAAGTTTTCATAGATGCCAGTTAACTTGAAAAAGCTAGGTCCTAGTGGCCAAAAATTCACAAAAATTCTAATATCCAGATTTTAATATATCGGCATCAGTTAAAGGAGCAGAAAATTTTGAAAAAAGCTATGTATGAATTATATGAATATATCCCCTTTAGTGGCTGAGAAAATGGTACCTCAAAATGACCAAAAACGGATGGCAGGTGCTCTTAAGGTAACCTGTGCTTTTTTTTTTTTTAAGGAAACCATATTGCATATTTCGTGCACCATTTCAGATACTGCAGGCGAATCTGTGGATGTTATGCAAATTGAGCGGCCATAGACTTTCCACGTTACAACTCTCATAGCCTAGATCTGTAACACATTCCGTGAAATACTACCTAAACGTAGCTTTGATCACATTACAACTGCAACTTGCAGATGCTTACGTCATGTCGCATGCGCACATTTGTAAGTCAACTACGTGACGCTATATATTTTAGTTGGGAGAGTAAATGGTCTACTATAGACACTGCCCATAGGAACACACTGTTTAGTGGTAAATACAAACAAATGTCGACCTCGGACTCCTCTTGCGCTATATATATTGGAAACATAGATGTGCGAGGTTAATCTCATGTTACTTTTTATTGTGCATACTCAATATTTTCCCTTGATCTATTAGTGTTGGCTGCTATTATAAAATGTAGTATATAATATGTGCAGCCAAACCCCTCATAAGACACTTATGTAACAGGCACATGGCATAATACGCACCAGTGCGTGTACATTGAAATGGGGGTTGATAAGAAGACATAAACGTCGTGGAGCCTGCTTTATAAACGACATGTTATATGAAAGACAAAAATTGTTTCCTGGTGCACGTCTCTTATAAAAAGGTTGAACTGTAACAGGTCCTCATAATTATATGGTAACTGCTATTTACTAATTGCACACATAGGCACAGACACGTTCTTGTAAAAGATCTTATTCGCTAGCTTACGGCACACGAAAGGTAGTACCTTCAACAAAGTGGTCACAGAAAGCACTATTTACATAGGACATTAAAATGAAATGTATTGCTGCATTAGGTACACAGAAAATTTGCTATACTTCAAGTTTCATATCTGATTCTCATCTTGCTAACATTCGGCTCGATTGGCAAAGAAAGCAAGGACAGGGGGGTACATGAATGAGATTAAAACTTTAAGTCAACATAAAAGAACACTTTGTAACCACTACAACTTAGAATGCTTTTAATAAGTTGGCACTGCGGTTGCCCTACACATCAACAGCAATGATAGAGCCTCCATGAGTGATTGTAGACATCGCTCGACGATCTAAGCTTGCAGGTTTTTCAAAATGGGGAAGTGGTGACTGTTATTGTGTGCCACTAACCCTTTCACAATAACTTTGTCAATTTTGGGCACCTTTGTCAGTCATAAATCTCATAGTGGTTATTGCAAGTTCACTAAAGAAAGCGAAGCAAAGAAAAGAGAAAATTCGTAGGCAGGGCAGTGCTATTATTTATTTATTTATTTATTTATTTATTTATTTATACAGATACCTACAGTGTCCTCACAGACATTACTGTGAGGTGGAAGTATATAAACAAATACACAGAAGGCATGAAAAGAAAAAAAAGTGCACTTTTTTATAGTCTTTTAACGCTGCAGCAGCGTCATAGGCAAGAATGATTCTCAGTAAAGTCTTTAGACATCAGCGATGATACTGGTACGCAGCATGCGCATGAGTATGTAACTAACAGACAACATGTGCCCAGTCCCATTACACGCCCATCACAATCTTAGTACGCTGTTTCACACGGCATCGATCTACCGCAGAGGAAGTGAACTCAAAGGGCTCCAGCTCGCATCAGACTTCAGGGAAGAAAATATTAGAATGACTTTTTTTCGTTATTGTTTTCTTGTGGTGCAGTTAGTGTTGTTTTGGGGAGATTGAGGGCTGTGCCCATGCAATTGGAAGGGCCGTTCGAAATTTGGGTGTGTTGCCTGGCACAGCGGTAGATTTGACAGGTATGCTTCTACAAATGTTTGACCCAACAGCGCATAGTGCCATACAGCAAGTAAACTAAACACAATGCTGACGTAACTTTTCTTTTTCAGTGTTTCCAAAATGTGTTCGTGGAATAAGGTGAGATAGAAATGAAAGAGCTACAGTAATAATTTATTTGGTAGATAGTTCGAGTAATGTGCTATGTAGGAGAAGCAAGCAAACTCTGCTAAGTTAGTGTGGCAATCAGTACCATACACTCTCGCATTTTAGTAGCTTGGTCTCTTCGGGAGAACACATGGGTCAACTTTCTGAAATACCCTTTGCACATAGATTTACTTGTGCACATGGACATGGACTCCAGGGGTTGTTTACGAAAAGTCCATTTGGGAATGTATTCCTTGAAAGGGGGTATTTTCCTGTGCGAGTTGTTCATGTTTCAAGAGACGCATGCTTTAAAGCAAAAGCCATCAAGGCTTTGCTTTGAGCGGTTTCTGGCAACCCTGTTATACTAGGGAAAAACTGAAACCCTGACCTGTGTAACGTGACCTCATTCCAGGTAGAAGAAAATCATGTACATCTTTGGTGGTGGGCAGTGACGGTTGAACAGAATTCATTACCAATGAGCCTTGAGCCGCTGGACTACCTTATGCACTAAGTCCGAATGGCTGGCATAAAGGCGGAGCTCCTTGTTGATATCTGTCCACTTGACCTTAGCTGCGTCATCCCCAGCTTCGAGCGTGAACTTGCCTGAGATGTTGCCACTGTCATCATGAAAATTGCAAGCAACTGTCTCCATCCAGGCATTGTCTGTGTTCCGTGGGTCATCCACATAGCCTTTATAAACCTGCATTATGTAAGGGGACACACAAAATTGAAGCTCTTGGCTAGGCTAGATAAAAAATTGAAGCTCTTGGCTAGGCTAGATAAATGAACGTTCTAATGACATCTGGCTCTTTGTCATGCTCAGGTCTACTTTACCACTTTCCTGTTTCATTACGTACACTCTGAAGACGTTTGGGAATAAAAATCGGCAAGTTTGCTGGAATCTATGGCAGCAGCTGCACAGATTGTCTGCTTGAGTGTTATTCACAGGTGGGCACAAACATGTAGAGTAGACTCGCGATAATTCATACTTTGATAATTCACACTTTCAATTATTTCAAATAATATTCAATTTTTTTGGTTGGCCCTCTATTCTTTCAATGTATTTAGAAGCCTCTTAATTCAAACTTCATCATTCAGTTAATTCACATGATTTGCGGTTTCATACCAGGAAATATCTGCTGCTTTTCCACTACTATTTAAAAACTTGCATGCTTATGTAATCCTAACAATCTATAAATGAAAAATAAGCACCTTGGGCCTTCAAGGAAAAAGGCTTAGCTAGTAAACAAATGTTTGAAACGAATCACACACATGGTAAACCATGATGCTTCTCAACTTGTATAGAGAGCTTTGTGCCGAAGGCACAAATAGCAAATATGCAGTTGGCAATTTATGATTTTTTCAAAAGGTCCGATCAGCAGTCAATGGCTGATAAACTAGTGGCTCCTACACCTCTGCTTTCTGTTCATTGCGTGCAATTGGTGCTTAAAGATGCTCTAAAAATGTTTAAATCTGATAAAATCAATGCCTAATCATAAAGTAAGTATGGCGTCACCTCACCTGCAGTCATATATCAGAACTCGTAAATCATATATATATCAGTTTGAATTAACGAGAGTAAGCTATAAATATTTTGATAAATACCGGTCCTGTATCTATGTCAAGACTGATTCAACTGTCTGTAAAATACTGACCTTATAACCAGTTGAATGGAAATTCACTGCATTTAGTTAGGATAGTATCGTTACATCAAGGTGCTTCCCAGATGCTCTAAAATTCCATTTGCAAAGCAGCTTTCTCCTGTCGCCAAAAAAGGTTAGCTCTCTCGTAATTGAGGGTAAATGTGAGCATGAAATACCTTCCAGCAAGCAAATCGATTCGGAATAATACTAGGCACAATCCTAAAATGAGTGTAGTGCATGTTTGCCAGGGCGAACCAGACCACACTACAGAACGCTATGGCTCAAATGAATGCTGTAGTTTCCTGTGACTCTGGGGATGGTTCTTCAGCTTTGCCCAAAGGTCAAGAAGTAACACAAGCCAGACGCTGGTGTACCGAATTCAGCGTGGCATCATTTATCGAAGCAGGCATGGAACATATGCTGTAGGAGTCACGAACAAGTGGTGTTTAAATTAGTACAGGCAAAGTATGTGGCACCTTGTACTTGACCTTGTATATTAGAAATGGCAAAACTTAAGCACACAAGAAGTTTGCTACAGCTTCTTACAGCTTCAGTGATATTGCGAGCAACATTAAGAACTTGGAAGCAATATTTTTTTTACTCGTATGGGCATTAACTACCACAATACAGAGGTTTCTAGAATGGAACTGCTGGTAACATGATTGGTTTTGTACTTGAATTCTGTCACCGTGTTCATCCTCTCAGTACACAGAATTCCTGTTAAATGGAACACATTTTCCTCGTGCCTTCAGGTTCTATGTAACAAGTGTCTCCTGTACATGTAAAGCGATTCTGTACATGAGGTTGGTGGCTAGATAGCACATTATTTAACGCTTTTGATTAGTTTCCCAAATGTTCTCTGTTTTTACGATGGCCCAATGATCTAATATGAACACACAGATAACAGTGCTGGATTTCGGCTCAAGGTTACAGAAAGAAAGCTGAATACATTGGAAGCTAAAAGACAATGGAAGCTAAAAGCATTTCATGCTTAAAATCAGTGGTGACCAAATAATAGGTGAGACAAAAGGAGTTCAAAGGACTGGAAGAAAAGAAAGACTAACTGAGATGAGGCAATTAACAGTCTACATATGTAGATCTTCAGCACAGAACAAAGAAAACAAACTTGGAATTTTTGAAAATTTGACTAAATTCAAGGTTTACTTCATTCTTGTAGTAAATAATGTAGCAAGACATCAGTCACCAAGAGAGAGTCAAAGAACCTGTTTCTCCAAGCAGTTGGCAATAAAGTAGTGCAGAGATGAGATGATAAATGGGAGAATAGGACATGTAATTCATGTATTCCATTTACTGAGACATGAACAAGGGTGGCAAATTGGAATACAAAGCCAATGATATCAGAAGCAGCTGCTCCATTTAAAATATTTCCATTTACTAAGGGTCTACTGTATATAGAGGCATCATGGTGGTTTGTGCCTTGTGAAACAACAGTGACGTATGACTCGCAATGCTTACCTCAACACCTTCATTGAAGAACAACTCGAGAGATTTCTCCAGCGCCTGCTTATCCTTTTCACTTAGAGATAAGCTATTCATGGCCTCTTCAGAGAATTCCCTTCGTAGTGTAGCACTAACCAGCTCTCCTGGGTCCACCATCCCCTATGGAAAAATTAAATAGAAAACTAAATGGCAGAAATAAAGTAGAGAGGCTGCACAGTGGGTTAGCAGCGATGCTACAGCTTAAAGGGGACCTGCAACCCTTTTCTTCGTAGCCATGGAATGGATTCACTGAAAGAGCTTATTGCCTCACGACTCTATCAGCGCAAAAATTTTTCAAATCTGTCCCGTGCGAGTGGAGCTACGAAGATTTGTCGCATGCTGCAATTGCATTCTTTCTTCTCTCGTCCAGACGAAAGCGCTGGAAGCTATGTGAAGACGGATGCACTGATACGGGAAAAGCAAATAAATCATGCGTGCCTCGTGACTTTAAGCATTTTTTGTCCTTTTTTTTTTTCTTCTTCGAATGTGTGGTTTTTCAGTGCGATCGAATGGACGAGTGGTGGCCTCCCGCGGTGCTCCCTGTAACGACCGAGTGCTCCATCCTCAAATCAGCCAATGGCTCACCGAACGGCTGTGACGAGTGATTTTTGAGCTTGTTTCATCATTTGTTGGGAGAATGGAAAGCGATTTCTTGCTGACTTTATGGTGAATTTCAGGCAGTGTGCTGCGCTACAATATTTCGCATGTTCTTGGAAGCTTCTGCCGCTGATTGGCAGCATTTTCTGACCATGCTCAAGAGAGGGCCAAAAATGAACTTTGATGACTTGACATATTTTATTGTGCCCAAGTAAACAAGTGTCTTTGTATTTAAGCTCCATAAAAATATGGTCATGGTGAATGGGAATTACTATTTTTACATGTACAGCAGATTAAAGAAGCACTGACATCAAACTTCAAGCTCGAGATCTGCCCCATCATTCGTTCACTTGGTATGCACAGGTCTTCTTGGCCAAATTTAAATGGCGTCTGTTGCGTCGAAGTAATTTTATTTCGACGTCAAACAGCGTAGAAGAGCTAAGGAGAAAAAACTAAAAATAGACTGCCCTGGGAAATCGACAACAGTGCTAGTGTTTGGTGTGATACATTTTACAAATACCATCCTGAGTGACGATACGCTAGTAACGATGACGTCGCCGATCTCTGAGTGTGTTTAGAGCAGACTCCCAGCCATGCTCTCACTAGAGGCTCTCCTTGCTGTGTTGAAGCGTGCGTGTGATTCATCGTGTCACATCGACCGATTTGCGTTGTGCTACACTGGGCGTGAGTATGATCATTCAGAGCGATAATACGTGCCAGAATGTTGGGGAACCGCTCCGTAGTGAGAACCTACACCACGTCGTGGCACGGAAAAAGCAGAAAGTGCGTGGCAGTTGTAAGCCACGAACCTCAACGCAGCCAGTGGGTTGACCTCGTATGCGCTGCTGGACAGAGAATCTGGACGCCTGTGAAGAACAGCCGCATTTGCTCCCTTCACTTTGTGGCAAGCTGCTACAGGGTAAATCCTGTGTTGGCGAACCAGTTGGGTTTCACTGGCAGTACGAGGCCTCTTCTCGAGGCCGGGGCTATTCCTACCATGTGCCCTACTGCAACTGAAAGCAGCGATTCACTCGCCAAACGTTCCTGACTTGAGGTGCGGAGTTGGTATTCCTAAGCTCCGACAGTACAGCCGGGACTGATAAATACATTGCATATAACGTGGAACTTGTCAAGCAAGGATCATTGCAAATCGCGGCGATACCCAATTCCAGGTCGCTGTCACTTGCCGATGTTGACCACGACAACGGCGAGGACTATGATGTTGGAGACAGAGCCATGTCTACGCCTTTCAGAGACACAGCTGGACTGACTCTACGTGCGCTCCTAGCAGACGAAACGTCAGTGTGACATGACGATAGTTATAGCACGAGAACAAAACGACGACATAGAGACAAGAAGGACATGAGCGCTGTCTCTGTGTCGTCGTTTTGTTCTCGCGCTATAACTATCATCATGCCACACCAACTAGCCCAAGCTGCCACACTGCCAGTGTGACGTCACTATTTTTTCTGAAAGCCGCATCAGCTGTGCAGCAGCCTCGACGTGGCCGCTAGGTAGCGCTGCCAGCACTACAATTTGGCGGGCTTTCCACCCATTTTGAGCCGCGTTCGATAGCGAATATATTAATCAATATTACAGTCACTGATTCGTCACTCAGATGCGTTTTAAGTCGCGAATCGCTACTAGGGGGTCGATAGCTACTCGTTGACGCAAAAATCTTGTCATGAGTAATTTTGATGTCAGTGCTCCTTTAATGCTAGAGCTAGTGAGGTGGAGTGGCAGAGAGCAAAAAATCTAACAATGCATTCATTTCTGATAGCATTTCCGAATATGAGCTCGAAAGCAAGCTTCACCATGAACCATTGTTAATGGTTTTACCGTTCATATTGGTGAACAGAGGTTGGCATGTATTGCAAAATAAGAACGACTAACGTATCTAATCGCTGTATATGCACATCAAAATGCTGTGTACACTTGCGCACCTTTTTAAAGCTATACTACTTATGGAAGCAGGTAAAAGTTAAGCTGCAGTGTGCAAATTAGGTACAGGAGATAGAACACACACAGCACAACACTTGTGTGCCGTGCGTGTCCTTCTATGTACTACACTTATAATCTGTGCTGTGCAGTTTACCATTCTCATTGAACTAGCCTAGCAACAAATTGCCTGAAAGTGAAGGTTAATTAATGCATCGTGTGAACTGTACAGTTGCTCTTTCACAAGAAGACCACGTGTAATGGACGCTATAAAAGCATACTAACTGTGACCGAGCGTCTCTGTTCATCATATGGCTGTCTTAAGTACGATATGCAAATTGTGTGATGCACGGGTGCACAGGACGAGCTACCGCTTACCCCAGGAATAGCCCACTCGCCAGAGTCTCTCCTCGCAATGGCCACAAACTGCAGCACCGGCAGTTGGCTGCACTGGTTCATAACCTTATTGCCTCCTGCATCTCTCTTCCATCTAAAGTGAGGGGAAGTAGCGGCAAAAAATTGCACTCACAAATACCACACACATAAAGAGCACAAGAAACTACAGTAAATTCTCAGTAAACGGAACCTGAAGGGGCCAGGGAAAATATGTTCCATTTAATAGGAGCTTCCGTTTACTGAGAGAAGAACATAGGTGCAGAATACAAACCCGAAACCAAACATACCAGAGGAAATAGTTCCGTTTAAGCAGTAGTTCCATTTAACAGCTTCCCGTTTACTGAGAGTCTACTGTAGTACAGTAAGAGCTCACTGATTTGACATCCAAATAATTAGGAAATTCTAAAAAATTGGATCGATGCTCTGGTCCGAACAAGTCCATATATTGTTCAATGACATCAAGCTCTGGTTAATTCGGTCATATTTGGCTGCAACCCGGTCCATTTGGGCAATTCTCCAATTGCGAACCACTGCAGAGGAGCAAACATGACATTCAGGGACGATGCCATCAGTGCAAATCGTGTGGCAACACTGGCAATGACGTTTCGGGTCGATTTTGGGTTAGCATGATTCCGGTTAGTCAGGAGGGACAGGTCTTGAGCCATGGTCACCTAGGAGAACAAAGTTGCGAGTACCGAAAATCGGGGCTTTCACACTGCTCTTATGCAAGGTAAGTACAGGATTTATGTACTCATCAAGAAAATGAAAGTTTATTGGCATAATAGATGTCTGTTTACTGTTTTCTTGTCACTTTCAATAATGCGGAACTCGGTTAACTTGTAAATTTTTTTTTAGTACGATGAGGTCTGCATTAACGAGCTTTTACCGTATTCGATGTCATCAGATGATGCACAGAAAGACTCAAGTGGCCCATTTGCTTTGAGCTTTTCCTTCTATTGCAATACTAACTACATATTGCCTTATTAATTAAGGCTGCTTCACAGAAACTGTGCATAGTGCATACTTTTCTAAAAATTTTTATTATTTTCTTTCTTCCTCCTCTCTATAATTTCTAAATACTAAAAACAAACAAAGCCGGTATGAGTTATGTTGCCTTTTAAACTGGTAACCCAGTCGATTGAACAGAAGGTGCTTATGGAAAACTTGCCGAAAAAAGCGTGCAGCAAAACTGTGTGCCCATAACAAACACAAGTATACATTAAACTGAAGGTACTTTCGTATACTGCAACTAACTGTACAGGATTTAAAAAGTAAACATGAATAGCTATAACATACACCTATAAATACCTGTAACAAGTACACATATTGCTTATAGAGCAGGCATTTTTATGTCAACATGACTTCATTACAGTAAAGTTTGTCGTTATTCGTGCATATCTACCACAAGGGCTACATTGTCTCTTTAATGTACACAGGAATGAATACCCATGCTTCAAGTAATCTTACAACATCACTGTCCTATGGTTTAGCTGACCTCGTGACGAATGGGATCACCGGCATGATTGGGCCCCCACCGCCCTAATCTTCCCCGTCCGGAGAGTCCTGTCCGGCCACGAGGATTCAGAGGTCTGCAATCAACCACAACGTATGTCCCCTCGTGGCTCCGTCTATCGACATGGCCATCCAAAGTATTCCAGCATGGCGAGAAATCAGCCCTGTTGTGGGAAACACAGAAAGCATTCACCACAGAATTTAAAAAAAAAAGAATAGTTGTTTGAATCGCTCAACTGTCTATTAACATGGCTCAATTTTACAGAGGAGCCAGGTGCCTTCACTATCAAGCCAAGGGTTTACCAACAGGAAAAATGCCCCAAGAAGAATTTTCCAATCAGCAAAGGCACATAGTATTTGCCTGTCAACCTGGTGAGAGGCGATAAAATCAGCACCTCGATTTTCTTAAGCGTTTTATTTCATCCCTAGTTCAAGTAATTCAATGGGTCCATTTATAACCCCTAACACTGTCCGCTTTGAGTAGTGAAATAACCAAATATGCCAAAATACGTACAGCCAGCCAAATCTTTAATATTGTGCGCAGCAGCAACTTTTCTGAGTGCCAGCACAACATAATGGAATTAAGGTCCAAAAAGATGTTTTGTGGGTACGTGGGCAATTGTACAGCGATCATTTACACAAATTGTGCTTGAAATAGGGCTAATAATAGGATAAGCAAATATTCAACGTTTAAAGGCATGCAACAAATGAAGTTGTTAAACAACAACTAAAAAATTCACGAAAGAAAAAAAATAGCACACCTAACTTTGGTCATCTTAACAAGTCCCCCCAACCCCATATTAACTATGAGACAGCGGACATATACGCAGATAATTCTTTTCCTATGTACTGCACCATCACACTATCCCACTGCAATCCCCGTGTGCACTAGTACGGCTCCTGTGTAATGTCCGCAGACTATGGAGAATGGTGCCAGCACCCCGTGGCAGGAAGCACATCCGATACAAATGCCAGTTTTGGTTTATGTTGGCTATAGGCCAACAGCATGCTACATCTGTTAAATGATGCCAAAAAGCATGCGCCCATAGTTCCAAACTGAGGACAGGCCTCTCTATAAACACTTTTGTTTTGTTGTGACACACAGCAAAATTTTTTTAAAAAGTTTAATTCTGGAGTCTTATCAGCAGGATAACATTGAAATATAGCCGCGAGGAAGGTCATAGTTACTGTATTCTGTCGCATGGAGGTTCTTTAATACGTGTCTAAATCTATGTACACAAGTGTGTTTGTGTTTCGGGCACCGTGGCCGCACCGAATCCGCGCCCTTGTGCAGCGCAACAACATTACCGCTGAGCTATCACGGCGGGTTTATTGGCAGCTGAAGAGCGAAGCACACAACAGCGTCAACAAACAGAACGTCTGAAAAACAACTGCACAAGGATGGTTAGCGCCAACTGTGTTTTGGCAACCAGGAAATAGCTATCTGTACCCCAGCTCAAGGTCTGCCCACGGTTTGGACGAGAGGCCAGGTATGCTGTACTCGGGCGGCCTGTAGTCGGGCCACTGCGAAGTCCAGGGCACCTTGTCATCTGGTACATTTAAACGCTGCACGTTCGTTCCGGGATAAGTCGCACCGCGACACTTGCTATGAATACGCATTGTCCTGGGCACGAACGTCTACAAAAACAAAACAAGAACACATTAACAATGAGTCTGTTAGATCTCATTATTAGTGTGTCTACAAGAACAAAAGTGCGGCAACGGCAGGCATGCTGAGACAAATTTTACGTATACAAGCTAAACAACCGAACCGATGAGTGTGCTTACGGACATGTAGACACAAACTCTCAGCAAACTTTCTGTCAGCATTGAATGTCCTCACATTACGACTTGGGCGAACACATCGGTGGCATGCCAAGGCTCAGAAACTAAGAAAGTTGCTTCGATTTACTGCCGTTGCTATTTCAAATGGACGATCGTGAGACGCTTGTTCGCTCCTCTCGATTTTCGTATCCTTTCGGCTTTTCACGACACTTGGAAAGTGAGCCAAAACCACGTCCTACTAGTGTAAATACACGTCAAAAACGCGCGTCCGCATGAACGCAATAAGTTTTATTTTTTCGCCACCAGGGGCACAAAACTACCAATCAGGCAGGTTTTGACACGCCTGAGATAACGCAGAGGATGATGTCGAAAAACGCGCGCTTTTCTTCCAACGTTCTGAAACGTGAATATCATGCTACGCTTAATTAACGGCTGGATAATTGCTTGAGCAGGTTTCCTGTTGGAGTTCAACTCGTACTTCATTCTCTTTCAGAAAAAAATGGGCCATCCCAGGGCGAGCGACGAGTCATGTACGGAGATCACATGTCGGAGGTGTCGGTGCGGTCTCAGCACGGTCAGTTTCGATGACGCTCAGAAAGTTGATGCTTTCTCCACCTTGCTTTCTCTGTGGCACTTCGCTGAATGAGTCTTACGATACGTTCCGAAGACACACGTATTCACTGTGCAAGTTCGCCGCTAGCTTTGGCTGATAAAAAAGTCCCAGGCAACGCACGTTCTGACTGCGCAAGCACAGTTGAATCGTTTCCGAAAGTCGTGCAACATGAACAAATCATTTGGTAACTTTATTTCAGCACTCGTACTATAATTTGCGCTTTTAAAGTGTTCAATATTTTCATCGGTACAGCTTGCACGTCTGTCAAAAGTCCAGCGGATCCGAAGCTACGCATTTCATATTCTCGAGTGACAGTCCAGGCTGTGTTCCAAGAAGCTAGCGCTGCCTTAAACCATGTTGACCGTCGTTAGCAGACACTTCTTCAACGTGTTCTTGAGGTTTCCGTCGATAGTTTCACGATCTGGTCACATTTGTGTGCAACCATTCACTGCAAGCCACAATTTTAACGATATGCGGTCAGCATAAACAAATGCAAGGACTTGGGCGAATGAAGTTACCAATATTAGACGTGAGGCTGTTAACATTGTTCTCCATTACCAGATGATGTCACAAGTTGAATTGGAGTTTTGGGCAAGCTTGTCATTCCTTGCTTTCTTTGTAAGTGCGTATGAACCCCACTTGCAAAAGTTATTGCCACTTCTTATTTGTTTGCAGGTCGGTCGTTCACGTCTATCCAGGTCTTTGATGACAATGACGAGTATAAAAAGGGAGCCTACCTCTGCTCTCTTGCCAAGAAGTGTGGTCTTACCCTTAACTCGGGCAGAAGGCACAACACCTTGAGTGAGTATAACAGTGTGAGCTTGTAAATTTGTTGATAGATTCTATTTATAAAACTGTGCATGAATAGGTTCACCTTGTTTGTTCAAACATGAGCGAGAGGATGTACACTAGCCCATTTTTCTTAACCTGAATGCGTGAATGTACCTCCCAGTTGATAAGCGGCTTTTAACGGAGCACAGCGGCAAAATGAACGAGAATACGTGCATGCCTGCAATGAACAGTCCTGGGCAGCTGTCTTTGGCTAGTCTGTTCTGGGAACCGTACACCCGAAACAGGTGCTCACAGATTTAGTGGTCGATGCTCGCGCGTTCAGGTTTTACAATGTGCAGCTGTATATATAGTATGCATCAAAGAGGTTGCGTGTACAGAGGTCAACACACTTGTCTAGAACACTCGAACGGAGCGCCACAGACTGCAGTTGCGTTGTTTGCTGATTATGCTTGGTTTGAAAGAGACAAAATTATAGCATGCATGGCTGCTAAGAATGAATTTAGTGTGGGCTGTCTCAAACTGTTCGCTATATGGTATATCTGGTGCAGAAGTGTGCGGGAACATGCAAGAGTGTGCTGTTTCTGCATTCTAGACAAATGTTTTGACCTCCGTACACAAGACATCTCTTGCAGAAAATTGTAGATTTTGCTAAAGGCAATATAAGCGTGCTGTCATGAGGGATGTAAGGTGCACCTGAGACAGGCAAAGTGAGGTCACTGTTGCTTTTTTGTTGCTGGGCATGAAGCTGAAGGAGTTCGTTCTCTGCAACAGTGACTGCATTATAAAGGAGGTCCAAAAGGGGTACTTTATAATGAGCTGCATATAGAATTTAGGAAGTGTTGATTAGGTGTAACTGGTGCAGAAGAGGCTAACTTTCATGAATATTCCGTCTGGCTGCATAACTTGTTGCCTAAACAAAAAGAAAAGAGCGTACAAAAAGGCTTCGCAAATTAACAGTCACCGCACTTGGAATAGGTATAAAGAACTAGCTCGGGAGTCAGAAAAAGCTATTAAAGAAGCTAAGGATTATTATTTCAATGATACGCTGCCGAATCTGTTAAAATCTGATCCGAAAAAGTTTTGGCGAGTTCTTAACCCTAAGGATACGGACATAACATTAAAAGACGCAAATGGGTCGATTGTACCCACCTCTGAATGTGCTGAGGTTTTAAACAATGTCTTTAGCGAAGTTTTTGCAGACGAACCACCTCTTGACGAGTCCTGTTCCGTCACTCCTACTCCAATTACTTGCCCAAGCAAGCCCATTATCGTAACGGAAGTAGGTGTATCACGTGCAATTGCTAGACTTCCGCTTCGGTCCAGCCCTGGACCTGACGGCATCAGCTCAAAACTACTGAAATTAACTAGTCACGTATCATCGTTTTTATTGTCCTTAATTTTTCAGCAATCGCTTGATTCTGGGTGCGTCCCTGACGATTGGAAATCTGGTCACGTTAAACCCATTTATAAATCTGGTGATCCCTCAAGTCCAAAAAACTACCGCCCGATTTCACTCACATCAGTTTCTTGTAAACTCCTCGAACATATAATTTACTCCCACATAATGAGACATCTTAATACTAATAAAGTGTTATTCGAAAATCAACATGGGTTCAGGTACAAGCGGTCTTGCCAGACACAGTTATTTGAATTATCTACGGATTTTCATGACTCTTTGCACAAATCGGTTTACACAGATGCTGTATTTATCGACTTCTCTAAAGCCTTCGACCGGGTTCCCCACATACGGCTCATCCAAAAAATAAACTGCCTAAAGTTAGACATAAAAACTACCCACTGGATTCAGGAATTTCTATCTGGTCGCTCTCAAAAAGTAAATATAAATAATAATCTCTCCAGTTCCTGTGTCGTTAGGTCAGGAGTACCTCAGGGATCAGTTTTAGGGCCTTTATTATTCCTGATATATATTAATGACATTGCGAACAATATAACGTCAACAATTCGACTGTTTGCCGATGACTGTATAATTTATAGACAGATCACATGCACTGATGACGTAGCTATTTTGCAAAGCGATCTAAATACCCTGGCTAAGTGGTGCCACACATGGAAAATGGAAATTAATACAGATAAAACAAAGGTCATGTCATTTTCTTCGAATCCAAATACTCCATTAAATCGATACATGTTATGCAGTTTGGATATTAAACGAACCTTTTCTTTCAAGTATCTTGGCGTGATATTTACTCCTGATTTAAACTGGGCCATGCATATTGAACATGTAATAAACAAGGCACTAAAGAAACTTGGCTTTCTTAAGCGCCGTTTATATCTCGCAAACCATGAAACTAGACTTCGCACTTACACTTCCCTCATCCGTGCAACCCTCGATTATGCTTCAATTATTTGGAACCCTCACACAGCTATACTGTCCGACTATATTGAATCTATTCAAAACAAGGCTGCCCGCTTCATTTTGCACTCGTACTCGCCATACCAAAGTGTCTCAGCATTAAAACAGATTCTTAATCTTCCAGAACTTTGCACTCGTTGTAAATTCTTCCACTTGACCTTTTTTCACTCTCTGTATCATGGTATTACACCTTTTTCATGCGCTCATATTTTTCCGGCCCATTATGTGTCCAATCGCACTGACCATGCTCGTAAAGTGTCGTCCATATTTGCAAGGACCAAAAAGTACCAAAATTCCCCTTTTGTGTTATCTGTAACTGAGTGGAACGAGCTTCCCAGCGAGATGGTGATGATAAATGATCCGTCTGCATTCCAATCAGTGCTGCATACATTTCTTGATGTGTAATATGTCTACTGCTACTATATCTTACCCTGTTGTTATATCTTGTGTACCAGCGAAACGATGAAGAACTAGTGCCATGCAGATTCCTGGAAGTGAAATGTACTGGAGATGTGAAATGAGCCATGTGTTACATCCTTGTCGTAAAATGTACCGTTTACCTAGTTATGTCTGATCGCTGTGTGCGGTCCTTTTATATGAATTGATGTATACCTTGTTTTTAACAGTATCCCCCCCTATGTAATGCCTCTCGAGGCCTTTAGGGTATTTAAATAAATAAATAAATAAACTGCACCTGCCACAGTTTTACGAGAAACAGGAAAAGTAGTAATTATAGAAGATCACCAAAGGATTTAATGAATGATTGTTCTCAAGCGAACTGTGTTGCATAACTTCCTGGTCTTTTCTTTACATGTTCCTAGGTTGCAAAAACAATATTCATGTTAGTGTTAATGAACAGGACATACCTTGCCAGTGCTTCCAAGAATTTTCTAGATTAATAACGATTGGCCATCAATACAGTCTGCTAGCGTTTCTCTATGTGCTTTGCAAAATACCGAGTTACTATATAGGTAGTGAAAGCCACAAAGCAGCCAAGTGAAATTCTGTAGTGCTGGTGCTTTAGGAAAATTTATGTATCACATCAGTGTACCTGTTAAAGGAAAAAAGATAAGGAAAGCATAGCATTTTGATAGTTCTGTAACTGTAACAGTATTACACCAGCAGTATCCTTGTTCACGAAACTCTGTGCTACTTGCCCTAGAAACACTTGCGTCATTTGGGCCATTTTCCTGTCACGAAATAGTAATCTGGCTTGCTCGCATTTTATTTCTCGAAAACCTGTTGCTTGTTATCTTCCTATCAAGAAAGTAATGTCATGCTGATGGTGTACACGTGGTTTGTGACTTGCAAATAACAAATGTGCAGCAATAAACAATGAAAGGCCCTCAAGATATTTTTTGATTATTGTTATGTGACAGAAATACACCCCAAGAGGTTCACAGGTTTTTAGTGTGCAAGATGGTACAGGGTGAATGCCATGTACCATCTAGCAGGCCTGTAGCCACAAACTTTTTACGGAGGGGAGCACTTGCTGAACGACTCGACTATTTGAGAAATGCACCTATCTGTTCATTTTGGGTAAAACACCCACCCATCATTAGAAATTTGGGGAGGGCAGGTGTTTCTAAGCCCCGCTTGTTATGAACCTAGTGCCTGGTAGTACAATATCTATGTATACAGCAAAACCAAAGGTCTCCAGTGACAGGGGTAAAAGTTTGAGCATAACCACAATCTGAAAAACACTTTTCAGGCCCATCTTCACAAACCAACCTTATTCTCATCTCGCTTTTATGCTGTCAGTTTTGTGCCATTAGGGCATTTGATAAACGAAATACGTTGGCGTCCACAAACTACTCTTGTAGTTATTTTTTATCCTGGCACTGTTTTTGTGCCCTTATGACGCATGTAGTGTATACACAAACTTAGGGAAAACATGAGATAAGGATAAGGTTGGTTTGTAAGTATGGCCATCAGGGTTGCTGCAATGGTAAACAGTGCACAAAAGCTGGCGGAATGTCTTTTATTAGTGATCAATCAAACAGTTATTAAAAGTATGTAGTGACTAGTATTATTTACTTTTGAGGTCCACTCATTCTGGCCTATGGCTAAATTCGAATGCAAACTGCATTGAAAGGTAAATAGGCACAGTACAGTACAATGTATGTTATACATAACAAATTAGAGGTAAGGGCTTGTGTAGTGCACTTCCTTGTGATTGTGTGTTTTTTTAGGAGCTTGCTCTTTTTGTTGGTGGGTTGTCTCTCGTCATTGCACCGGTGTGTACGCTAGGCTCATTGCTTCCGCTAGAGGCGCAGCTGTGCTCTTTGTTTCAAGAACGCTCACCAGATGGTGCGCCGCCGCTTCTGCGAAGCTCGCCCGCCTGAGCGCAGCGGGCGAGGCTCCATACTGGCTTTACGCTGCAGGCGAGGACCAGGATGACCGTGTGTCGCTATGAGCAGCGAGCAGGGAAGAGACGTGCGTTCGAAATTCTGGTGGTGGAAGTAATGTGAATTCCATAGTCGATGCCGCTCCAGGCATAGCGCATTGCAGCTTCTTGACTGCCGACAATGGTACGTCTGTCGACAGCCTATATGTGTTCTACACAGACGAGTGGCGCACTGTGCATATAACTGGTACAGCCCACCATCAAATGGCGACAAGATGACGGATGTGTTGGGGAATGGCTGTCCAAGACAGCAGATGGTATGATGCTTGTGGGCTGGCACCAGGCTGTGTGGCATGGCTCTTGGAAAAAAAAACACAGTGTGTGTGTAACGTGTACATACAATCACACCACACCTTTCGTGTCACGTCTGTATATGATGATGATAATTGAGCATATGTACAGAGAATTTACGGTTTACCAAATTTAATCTGGAGCAAGATTCTTCATCATCATTCACGACATGGATATGCGGGATTTTTCTTTTTTTTTTTTTTTGCTGATTGTAATGAGTATGTTCCAACTATCCGAATTTGCTACTGTAGGTGCTGAATCAAGTACATTCAGCAAGGATTTCACTCAAAGTTTGAAAGAACATCCTGAATACCCTCAGGTGAGATATACACACACTTTTTTTGTTACTGTGCTTGTTTCATAACTCTTACAGCAGCACATTATTAAAAACTTCCATTTTCTGTCTGCATAAATGTCACTTGTTTTCTTCCTTTCTGCTCTCTCTCTTTTGAAGGTTGTTACAGAAGTTCTGAAGGAAATAAAGGAGTATTTAGATAACCCAGACAGGTAACGTTTACTTTGTCTTTGTAACCAGGTGTGGCAACTAATTGAAGTTGCTTCATAAATTGTAGCTCTGCTGTCTGTCATCATTTCATTTTTGCTCTTGCAACAGGCCTGCATGCACTGACATTTAATTACATATTTAAACCTGTAATTCACTCTAGTGTTTACTGAAAGTGAGCGAAAAACTGTTGTTGCTTTACAATGTAAAAGCGCTTCAACGCGTCTCCTGTCAGCGTTGTTTCTGTCATAGCCACTTTGTGTGTGCTTGATGCATTGTTGTGCCAAAGACATTGGCAATTTTTTCTTGCTCTCCTTTTCAGGGCTGCAAAAAGCACTCACGGTAACTTATCAGAATTCGAATGACAGCAGGTGAGTGAGGGTATACCATTCATGGCTGCGTGCGCTTGTGAAGTGCGCCTCAGCTGTCTTTTCTTGGTTAATCAGCCAGTTCTTGAAAAACTTATCTTGTGCAATGCAAATGGGTAAGACTTGATATAGATACTGGCTGCCTACATGCATTCTATGTGTTTATTTCCTGTCTATTTGCACTGCATGAAATGAAATTAAAAGAAAAACTGTCTACCAACGTGGGAATTTATTCAAGTTTAAAAGGTTTGCTTGAAAAGTTTGGAAGCACTTGCCTGCAATCAGTTAGAAGTTCATGTCTTTCTTTGGCATGACTTCCTTCACAGTCTACTTATAACATTTAGTGGTTCTGAAGGAAAAACAAGGCTGTATTTCTGCGGTCGTATTCTGTAACATTTGTTTTAGATTCTATTCCTTGACACTCTCGTGGCTTTAGTGTTTCTGTACAGAGTTCAACATTCTGTATTTGAATGCTAACCATGCCAACCACTTTTTGAAGTGGCCGAAATTCAAAAGGTGCATGGTTTTAGCATGGTAAATGCATTTGTTTAAGAATCGCTCATGGTCAGAATTAATGTCCAGCTCTCCAATACTCTGCCTCTAGTAGCACACTGTACAGCAGGTTCACCATTTCTTCTTCCCTTCATTGTTGCTTCTAGTAAAGCCATCCTTCTGCTTTCATTTAAAAAAATTGGCCCCGTATCTGCATTTAATCTGCAAATGTCATCGAAAGATGATAGTCTTGCGTGTGGAGAGAGGGAACAAAACATTTATTTGATGTTATGCTCAAGAAAATCGGTGAATGGTATTCTGGAGGCGCTGCGTTAGAGTGCCTCGAGCGTGCAGCGGAGGCGAACGAGTGCATAAAGTCACGTCATACGTGAGACATGACGGGTGTGCGTGCCCAGCTCAGAGGTGATAAGGTGTAGAACGCAAGGCAACGGTAGGTGCCACCACCATCTCGTTTTAGCAAAGCGTTGGAAACACTCACCTTTCCGTGTAAGCGTCGGATGGTCAGCACAGCGTGATAAGTGCTACAGTCCTTAAAATTACTTATGTATGCCTTTTCTAGTAAAAGGCGCTCATGCAGAATATATACGTGTTGTTATGGTGCCCCATACACGTGCAATAATTGCTTTTTAATTGACAATTGCACAAGTATGAACGCTGAATCTTGAGCAACATAAGTGGGCGCTGTGGATGGGGTCGGCCGTTTCAAATACCCGATGCTGTTAGGAGTGGACAAACAGGCAAATGTACAGACAGACAGACGAAAATTTTTGCGTCGGAGGTCCCCAAGAAAGACTATCATCTTTAAACGTTTAGGGCGGAAGCATGTAAGTGACAAAATAGAAGTGACACAGTGAGGTAAGGAAAGCAAAGAAGGACGCCCACAAGTGCTCGTGTGCATGCTTCCTTACTTTAACTTTGCAGTGTCACTTTTATTTCTGCATTTACGTGCTTGTGCTGCGAACTTCTTATCCCTTACACTGTTGGGTGTTTGGGGCTATGGAACACCCTGAGTGTCGACTTGGTTTCAGAAATAGCAGAGAATTTTGTAATGCGGGGAAATGGTACGTTGTGAAGTCAAGATGGCAGAGAGATATGAAAAGAGTATGAAACTTTTTTTTTTTTTGCTGCTTATAGCAGCCATAGAGGTCACGGTGAGCGAGTGAAAGCAGAGATCAAGTCATGTTTTGGTCTCTTGGAGAGGTTCTGTAGCAGACACGCGAACAGAAGAATAGAAAAAAGAAAAGAAAAACCTGCAAACTGACGTTTGATAGCAGAACAACCCTTATACATACCCGTAATCACACGTGCGCCGCATTATCAACCAGCATGAGCGGCCATTCCTCTAGCGAAAAATGGTGGGCGTGGTTACTCCATGCTCTTCAATACACGTTCTAACACAGCAAGTGGGGAAAATAGTGCATCCTTCTAAAAAGCTTCAACAGATGGCGCAACCAGTAGATTCAGGCTAAATTATGCCACCTTTGCAGTTAGGCATGAATTTTCGAAGGCACGATGGAGAATGTACCAGTACAGCTGGGTCATTCCATACCAGACATCCCAGCCATTTTGGCGACCATCTCAAGTGTATTCGAAAAAAAATTGGGCTGATTTACTGGATTGAAAACAGTGAACTGCTAGAATATTTCGGAGAGAAAAACATTTTTGTTCATGGGGCTGCTTTCTGAACTTTTTGGAATGTCGTTTGCGTGTTTGTGAAAAAGTACAAATCCTTCCTTCTATACCAAATATGGTATACATGTTAAGTAAAGGCGCTTGTGTAAAGTGTTTGAAAATCAGTAATATTTGTGCAATTTTACTGATACATACGCCTCCAAGAATTTAGCCAGCACTTTTTCTATTACAATACTGCACTTTGTATGAATATATGGGTAGTGAATACTTGCTCCACAGAAAATATATTTTGAGAAAAAAATATTTGTATACCTCTCAAGCTGCTATATTTTATGAGGAAAAAAATCACAAATTTCACATAATTGTCATTTTTGTCCATATGGAGGCACAATTTGCACCTTGTGGTGTTTCACTTGAAAATCACCTTTATATAGAAATCAAATATGCAGATCTTTTTATATGGGAAATATTATAGTTACATTTTTTGTTTTAAGAAAGAAAATATTTTTTTAACTTTCCCATTGGCGTCTATCTTCCTATTCGAAAGGGAGATAGACGCCAATGCCGTTAATGGGAACGTTAAATAATTATTTTCTTCCTTAAAACAAAAAATGTAATAAGATTTGCCATATACAAAGAACTGTTTATTTGCTTTCGATATAAATATAAAGTGATTTTTACTTGGACCACCCCAATGTATGAATGCGTCTCAACATGGACAAAAATTATGATTTTGTGAAACTTCAGAATTTTGCTCGTAAAGTTTAACAGCTTGGGAGGTCTAAAAATATTTTTCCCTCAAAATATAATTTCTGTAAAGTAAGTATTTGCTACTCAGATATTTATACAAAGTGCAGCATTGCAATAGAACAAACGCAAACACAACAAATTTTGGTTGAATTCTTGGAGGCGTATGTGCCAGTAAATTTGTAGTAAAATCACTGAGCTTAAAACACCTTACACAAGAACCTTTACTTGACATGTAGACCAAATTTGATATAGAAAAAAGAAGTGGAACTTTAAAAAATATTGTTTTTTTCACAAACAATGCCCAAACGACATTCCGGGAAGTTCAGAAGGCATCCACGTGTTCCTTTTGGAAATATTCTAAATATTCTATTGTTTCACTGTTTTCAATACAGTAAGTCGGCACAATTTCTTTCAAATACATATGAGATGATCGCCAAAATGGCTGGGACGTTTGGCGGGGAATGACCCACCTGTGACAGTGAAAGGGTTGAAATGTATGATAACCAACTTGCCCTCATTCGGCTTTCACTGTTGTGATCACTTTGTGGGACAGCTAAGGAGAAATTTACAGAGACAACTTTTTACCATTTGTGCTTGCCATTATTTTAGAGGGTCTATATCTTGCTTGTGTGTGATAAGACTTTTCTTTATTTTTTCTTTTTTACCCATTTAGTGGCACGCTGAAAAACCGAGACAGTGTGTTTCGTCTCTTTCTTCGTGTGGAACCACTGCAGGTTTGCTTCCGATTTGCAGCTTTCATTCTTAGTGCGATCGCACCTCATTCATCAGGCTTTGTGAATGTCTGTGTGGGCTTACTGTCTACTTTTATGTATTTACAACACCACTTCTCTGACATCAGCTGCTTATGTGATTCTGCAAAATCCGAAATGTTTTAAGAGTATTACGCAGGCGGAATTTAAGTCATGCTTAATAATTGGGGAAATCAGATTATGGCAGGATTGGTGCCAAGGTTGACTTGTCTGGAAAAAATATTTACTTATATATGTTATTTTATTTATTTATCACATACTGCGGACCAAGTATGGTCCATGCAGGAGAGGGCAATACAGTTCAAAATTCTTCTACATACATACAGTTCCGCTGCAGTATACATTCACTGCAGAACAAAATTCATGTACATTAAAAATTCGTGAAAAACAAGGGACAAATACAGGCAAACAAGCAGCATGTAGTTCATTACATACTGAAGATTGAAGCAAATTAGAAATATAAAAAATGCATACAGTAATTAGTAAAAGACATTAAAGTTTATTGAAAGCTTAGTGAGATGCTCTGATGGATATTCAATGGTGGTCTGTTAATTATTGCTTTGTGGGACATGTCGTTTCACCATACTGCTAGGAAAAATAACATAGCCAATGCTATGTATCCCCACTGCTCTGTTGGTGCTGTTTGCTGAAGTATCAATCTGTCTTCATGCTTTCTGTCGGTCGAAAGCAGAATCACTTTCAAGACAACCAGTACAGCTGTTATTAGGAGAGTAAATTGGGATAGTCTGTGCTGATACGTCATGTACAGCACCGTATTAACACGTGAACTTAAGAAGGAGAAAGTGAGACTGATGTCGACCTCGAACTGGGATATTTGTGTGATGCTTAGTCCAGACTACAGATGGCACTGGCACAGGTTTTGTGTTGGTGTATGCATTTTGTTCTTGCATAATGATTTAGCGGCAATTGCAAGGGCAATGTGTTAGCATTAACTAAATTTTCTAACTACCTTCAATTATCGTGATATTTGACACTAGTCAAGTGCTAGTATGATAGTAAATACACTGGGCCAACTATGTAAACAAATAGCTTCACACAAAAACTAGGACGCCCTTTTTTCCCTCGCTTTGTTCATCATGCCCCCACTAATGCTAACATGTTAAAAGTAGCACCTGCTCACCTCTCATGCACTCACACCCTCATATATTAAAGCAATAGGTGTCTCATCATATGCAAAAATTGATCATAGACATCAGCTTACTTTGTATTTTGCGAGACCTGATGATACTTGACGAGCCATCACCATTGGTGTCAACAAGAATGATGTGAAAATCATCATAATACAATAACGTCACCCTCTGATGTACTCGTGATGTCACAGACTGTCACAGTTGGTGATATCAATGCCTCTAATTCCAGAGGCAGTGCAAAACCACGGCAAATGCAGAAAACTTTTGGGGATAGAGGATAAATACGATTGACTGAAAAGAAAGAGATGGCTTTAGCCTTCTAGTCTTCTTAGGCAAATGCGTAAAGGTTATACTCGCCACGATGGCCTAGTGCTCAGCTGTTGACCCAAAGGCCGCGGGATTGAATCACAGCTGCTGCGGCAACATTTTTCATGGAAGAGGAAATGCTTGTTGATTGTGTACTTCTATTTAGCTGCATGGTAAAGAGCCCCAGGTGATCAAAATTACCGGAGCCTTCCACAGTGGCGTTTCTCATAATCATATCGTGGTTTTGAAATGTTGAGCCTCAACAATTATTATTATTGTTACCCTGTGAGTCATATTTTTCTTTCGGCTGACACTTAAAGCATGCATTGACTGCATGCTTTAGGTATCATCTCTGCATTAGTATTGTTGCTGACATTGGACTGATAGCCTTGCATACCATGTTTTTAAAAATGATATCATTTCCGGTATAACATTTATCCTGTTTCCCATATATGCATTGCAGTGGGGTCTGACAGAGCAGCTATTGGAAAAAATGGTGGAGGTGGCTGTTACTGACGAGTAAGTATCGATTTAATTGAAAAACAAAAACAGTTTTATGGTAGTGTTACTTTTCTACTTCTTACTTCTCACCTTGCGTTGTTTACTTACTGTTCATGTCCATTTAATGCCCATACTGGTGAATGTCGCAGGTCACCAGCAAACACCTTCCATGTCCAAGTGCTCAACCAGTTCAAGTGGCTGGATGGTCTCGCAGGCACCAAGGTTTGTCGTTGTACTTTACCCAACGAAGCTTTCGAGTGGCATTGATAAACGGAACATGAACTTGCTGTAGTTGGTTGTAATGGCCTATTATGGGACTGGAGATATGTTGATAGTAAACTCCACAAGTAATTGTAACGTCAGCATTGCATTCACTGTAAGTTCAATGATAGTAGTTTGTCGCCCAACAAAATGCCATGGCTGCTGTTGTTGCTTTTGTAATCTAAAAATATAATACAGCATCCATAAACAAAGACATGTGCTAGATCTTTTGCCCAGTAAAGTTATTTTTCTTGTACGGAGACTGCTTGTGTGGATGAGTAAAGATTCACTCAAATTATCTGGGTGAAACAATACTAGAACACTTCTTTTTTTAGTTCTTGACATCGTTTCATAATAAACAACCTTTCATGTAGCTTTGGAGGTTGCTGGCCTTCCGCAGAGCTCTGTTATCCTTACATTGTGTTACTTAATAAGTGTTCTGTTCTCTTTTGCTCTTTTAAAATAGTATTCCACATGCACATTTCTTTCTTTCTTTTTTTTAAGTGTGATGTTTCCTCTGCCTTAATGCCTTTAAAGTGCTGCAGGTTTTTCGGTTAAAGTAAAAAAGTGAAGCGACCGTCCAGGGAGTGTGTTGCATCACCCATCGTATTATTGGTTTTGGGATGTGTAACCCTACATATCAATCAGTATCAACCATCGTATTACTGTTTCACGTAAGGGGGCGAACTTGTGCTTTATTTCTGTTTTCTTTTGTCCACTTTCAGGCATTCATGAACAAAGTTTTTGACGAAGTCCTCCCTGTGATTCCACTGCATGTGCGTAAGGACCTTGTGCTTGCTCTGCCACACATATTAGAAGACTCTGAACACCTAGCTGCAGCTCGAAAACTTGGGTACAAATTATTCTCTTTTTATTATTTTTTGTAAAACACAATTTGTTGTAAGTTCTTTCAAGTGCGAAGCACTTTAGGGGCCTGACTTGCCATTCATTCATACATCTCATGTGGTGTGGTCACGCTCAATAACGGCCATAACCAAGCTAGCAATGCTCGAACCGGGTTTATTATGAGTGAACAAGGTTTAAGATAATATAATTAGCAGTAATAACCAAGAAGTAATTACAATAACTAAAACAAATGGATAAGGATGTTTCGGAAACGGCTGCAAAAGAGTGGGCAACACTGCCTCAACGAGCGAGCACATGCTCCTTCCCCTATGCCTCACAGGCGTTGCGCCGCTACGTCTGATGGGGGAAACAACCTGACTGGACTCGCTGCAGAAGACACATGTGTCGACTGTCATAACATGCAAAAAGTCTATAAAGCGCAGCGAAAAGTAGCGCACATGTCACACATGTTAGGGAGTTTCTGAATCTCCCTAACAAGATTACATTTGTGTTGGGAAAACCGTACATGCTTTGCTCAAACATTGGCGTCTCTTCGACGCTGTGGGAACTCTACGAACGAGAATCGTTGGGCATCTGGGCTATGCACTTCCTCAAGTTTCACAGCGATGGAGCTGCCAAATGTTCTTTAGCTGCAACACCAGCTTTCGCCATCATTTATGTGTCACATGGGGAAGCGGGTTGTCAGGCAAGTGCTAGAGCAGTGCAGGAAAGACGACAAGCATTTCGTTTAATCTTTTCTAAATGTAAAGAAGCTGACTACTGTTGGAATTCTGTGATGTCATTATTGGTTTAACTCCCGGACAAATGGATCATTGTACCGATCAACTCCGTCTATGTTCTTGCAGCGAGCTTTTTACCGATGACAAGGAGCTTGGTCCTACTGTACTTGAAGCCCTCAGTAATCTCTACGTGGAACCGGAAGTGATATCTGAGGTAACGTCCTAAAATATGCTTGCATGTGATTTCATACTGAAGTCAAACCAATCTTACCGTTTTAAGGAATTGAGGTAGGATATAAGCTTGATTGAGGTATTCCTGATTGAAGTTCGTGTTTTTCTGTATCAAAATGTTCATACTCTATTCAAGATTTTATTTTTTATTTTAATGTGTCGATACAATGCTAATGTACACAATTGGTAATTTGGAGGAACATGGAATATCTCAGCTTGCAACGGCAGGATCTCGTGCTCCCACAATCTCTCATTTAAACTCGTGGTCTGCTGTACCGTCGAACCATATGCAACCTGTATATATCTCTGCATTGTGTAGTCTCTTTATTATAGTAGTACCATGGATAAAATGTATAAGCATTTCTGCAAGCATCTTTATTCGGGATTGTGCACTTTTCTGCCCTCTTCAACAGGTTCGTACTCGTGTGTTGACTGTGTTGAAGTCATTAAAGCTCAGCCAGCTGCCACCAACCGTAAAATTCGTGCTTTCCAACTGTACAGCCCTGGAAGCTTCGCAGGTATGTTCAATGTTTACTAAATATGTCTGACACTTAGCAGAGCTTCTCAACTGACTGTGGATTGATTTTTGTATGCATATTTCTCCCTTTTTGTGGATATGTAGCCAGTCTTTTGCAGTTCACCTAATAAAGTTCAATTAAAAAGATAGCTACAACTTCCTTACGTACATGTTTTAGCTGAGCCACTGGCTATAAAGTGTTTGCGCATTCAACTATGCTTTCTCATATTGCTCTTGCTGAGTACTAAACGTTATGTGAAAATGCATATTTCAAGCTGCGATTGTACAATTACTGGCTGCACCGTGCTCGAATTTTGCATTTCATGTTTCATTGTATTGGCAGATCATGCTTTTAAGTTTTAAAGCAACTTTACCAAATTTTAGGTTCACTTTGTACTTGTTACTAGCTTACAGGAACTGTGGTTCTCACCTGCTCTCATTCCAGGTAGTATCTGAGCTGCGGGCCAACCTCGAACTCCGTCACCTTCTGCCAATCACGTCTACACCCACTACTTTCAGGTATCCCTGTCATCCCCTAACTGTTGCTCGTTCCGCTGTAGTTTACTTATTTGTTTTAGGGGATGGAACTTATCATTCGATATTTGCTTCCATCTGCGTTCATGTCCCTGCATATCGCAAAACAAGGAGGGTCAGGTATACATTAGAGTTCTCCGTTCTTGGACCCAGGTGTATTTCTAGTGTTGCGGTTATTTGAAATGCTTAAATTTTTTTTTTGAGCAAAGTTGTTATGGTCGAGGTTTGCCATGTGTCATAGATAGAAAAGTAACGACGTCATGAAACGTCGCATTCTCAATGGCTGTCCAAACATTCTGTACCGATGGTTAACAAGAGAAGCTCAAACGTAGTGAAATTCACCCAATTTATTCAAGATATGTACAGGCTATAGGAATTTCACAGTAGAGCTATTATGGTCAAGGTTCACGGTTTTTCGTCGATAAAGTATTATCAACATTATGAACTGGCAGGCACTCCATGACTGCCGAAACATTCTGTACAGATGGTTAACAAGAGCAACTGGAATGTGCCCACCAGCTCTGTTGTGACCTAGTGTTGTGCGACTTAGTGCAAGCTCCTAAGGTTGTTAGTACACTTACCTGTATTAGCTTTTCCATGCCTATGCTATTGTCTGTGGTGTTGCTAAAAGTTTAAGTGAGTGGCTGCTGCGATACTGTGTCACCTTTTCTTATATCTGAATGTTTAGGCTTATGATATGCCCTTTGGCTAATAAGGTATCATTCTTAATCACTTAAGGACTGTACATTTTACTGAGAAACATTTTTTGTGCGGGCATGGGGGTAAGTAGTTGACTGATGTACTGTGGGGCTAGATGTGCTACGTATATTTTAAACAAGATGTGAAGTGTTAGCTTTTATTGCTTTGGCTAATGGGGTTACCTGGTTCCATTGAAATGAATAAGCTAGGTTGGTTCTTGTTTGGATAATCTATTAGCATAGATGTTATACGTGCAATTTTTTTATATGTGTATGCAGTGCCGAGGAAGATGAGGAGCTCCAAACACTAATTGAAATTTCCAATGCCGTGCAGTTGCGCAGGTTTCTCCGCGATGCTTGGCTGAAGGTTTGTGCTTCTTCATCATTTTAGTTTTCATGTTGATTGCTTGTTACGTTACAGGAATGCTAAAACAAAGATTTGTAGTTGAATATATTGGCTTTATGAGCACATTGCTTCACGTATTTGAATATTGAGGAAAAACAAAAACATGTGCAATCTAAATCACTATTAATGGTGTCAGATTATCCCAATATATTAGTGGAAGTTTTGAAAGATTGCCTCAATCTTTCGTGGAAATAGTTACAGCAACACCTTCCTCTGTGTTCCCCAATTATGATGACAGTCTAATGAAATGCCCGTAGTGTACCTAATACTGTTAGCTTTACGGAGCAACATGACTAGAATATGTGCCTGTATGGAACGGCTGCTCCACTCAAACTTATAAAGCTTGTATTATTTGAAGTCCTCAAAAGTATTGGAACGTAAACTTGCAGTCAATCCTTTAGAATGAAACGACACTTATGTATGGCAAATTGTGCTTCTATCTTCGTTTGTATATCCTCTGCATGAAGCCTTTTACCTGTGTGCCTAATTATCTCTTATTTAGCATAAGAGCACAGGCTGTCGGTGCTGCACTGACACTGCCATTCGCTGGTGTCAAAGCGTTCTAGTAGTTCTGTTTTCCTCTGCCATAGCTAGTGGATTCTCCCTGGTCGGAGGACACATTGCAAAAACGGGCCATCTCATGCAGCATCGTTTTGTACAAATTTTGCCATTTACGCATGGACAGTGAATATGCAAATGAAAGTATTATAACAACAGTATCATGAAACCAATCCTATTAGTTGAGCGATTCGAGTAATAATGGTAAAATGCATTCTATTCTATTTGTGCAGGTCATAGAGAATGTCAAGGTTGCTGCTGAGCACAAGGTAAGCTTTACAGCGAAAGCTGTTATGATATCACAACAAGGGTCGTGTATGAAGTAGTTGCCCGTTGCCGCCGCTGGTGTCCGTAACCACTGTCGTGTGAAATAAAAAAAAGACTACCTAAATAAAAATACCGAAAAAAGAATGGGCGTCGAAGTCAGTCTTTGTACATGACAGTCCAGTACTCTACTACTGAGCTACACTGGTGCTTGAAACTCCATTGCAAACTGACTCTATGCAGGCTTCATGCCGGGTAAATAATCGCATAAACATGTGCAAAAAAGCTTTTTTTGGAAGAGTAATGTAACAACCAGATGCTACACAATGTGAATTGCATAAAAAGTGGGTAGTTTAATGCACCAACCCATTACAAAAGCCTCAGGCATAATTTTTCATTTTTGTCAGTCACAGCATCAATAACATGCACATAACACCTTACAAGTGTGCAGTGGGTACCACGATTTTCCGAAGAATGACGAATAATGACATTGTGGACGCTTCTCCATTACACAAAAATTATGATTTATGGTGTAGTGTATCATGCAAGTGTTGTCTTTGCAGTAGTTGCTGCAAGGGTATATAAAAAAGGCTTTAGAAAAGCCACTGTTCCAGCTGTCTCTGTGACTGTGCTATGCATTCTGTGCAGACCTAGCGTTTCTTACTTATTTATTTTTTTCTGTATACACCGTGTTGATAAGCATGTCAAAGCTTAAAGTACGAAGCATCGCTGTTGTGAGTGTGGTGCAAGTGGGAGCTCAAGGTCTCCATGACTCTTACGTCTCATGTGCGTTGTTCGCACTCAAGTTTCTCGCAGATGTAGTATTTTGATGTCATGGTTGTAGGCAGTGCTTTCTTTCTATTTATTAACCTCACTACCCACAGTGACCATCAGCATTTTAGGGGAGACGTGTCAATGAAAATTATCTTTGTTATTTATGAAACCAAAGGGATGAAATTCGGCATGCAGATGTCATTTGTTTTGCTGATATCATAACTGAAATTGGTTTTGAGCTATCTTATATAACTTCTGAGTTACAACACCTGATAGACTCTTATTGTCATCTCAAAGTTAATTAGCTAATTAGACACAAGTACGTTAAAATTTTTGCATAAGGATATTCACAAGGGTCTATTTTGTGACGTAATGCTATTGGTTTGTTTCTAATATTTAAGTAAGCACTCACAATTTTTTTTTAATGTCCTGGACATAATGTCTTATCAACAACATTTACAAAAAGCCAATTACAAAAGTCTGTATGATGTGCACGCAAATATGGATAGCTTTACGGCACTCATCAATGTCTCAGAATCTAAGTCCAGAACACGGAATGGCTATATTTTAATTTCTTGCAAAATGGCAGAGGGATGACTGACAACAACTGCTCAAAAAATGAAGCTGAGAAAATGTAGCCCGAAGAAATTAAAGCTAGTAGCTAAGAAAACGGAGCTTGGAAGGGAGCTGGTTTTATTTTTCATTAGAGAAATGCAACTTTGTGGCTACATTGAGCTCCAATCTGTCCTCTTTATGATGATGCCAGTACGATGGCATTGTGCCAAGGGACAGCTTCAAATTTGCAGTTTGCTATGCCCAATTTTTGCATAGCTTTTCACTACAGCCCACCATTAAAATACTTGTTTCTCAACTCCTACTACTTTTTTGGTCTAAAATTACACTACGATGTAAAACATGGTCTCAGGAATACAGAAAAAAATATTGAAAAACTGAACATTTTGACCAAATTTACAATTATCATTGCCACATCACCCCTTATGTGGGAGGGGAAAATAGCAATACAAATCTAGAAGTACAATGCAAGCAGAGAAAACTACCTGTGCAATACTTATGCAGTGAACGACTTACACGCATAAATGCTATTAACAAAAATGCAGCGAACGTACTCGACATTATACTTGCATCACTAGGCAGCTTGTTCGATCCTGATGTTGTATTTGGCAACATTAAAATTTGAAGCTGTTCTGTTTCACATTTCACTACTTGAACATTGTTTGCAGGGTTTTATCCAGCGTGGATTAAGCAAAATATTTCAGTTTTTGCTTCTATTTTTTCAGACTCTAGACATCTTGTTTCTTGTCATGCTGCACAAGTTCTTACCAAAACCCGAAGCCAAGTCTGTGGAAAGTTTGCTTCGCAAGAAAGTGCGCAGCGGCCAGTTTACGGGGAGCCTACTTGACCGGACCTTTGACTCGCACCCGCAGGTTAGTTTTCTGTCATTGTGTACGGGGAATACATACACTCAAACCTCGTTATAATGAAGTTGAAGGGGAGCCACAATTATTTCGTTATATCCATTATTTCGTTATATCGATTATAACAGTTTGTGACAGTGTATGCTCAGATGGGCGCACACCTATAAAGCATGCAAAGAAGGAAACCGCCTCGCAGCCCGATGTACCGCTACGGGACGTGCGATGAAAAATAGACACAGTTGAATCTCATTAATTCGAACTTGCGGTTAATTTGAACTCGCGATAAGGTTTCGTCAAAGCTATGTGCATTCTAATGGGCGAAAACGCCCGGTAATTCGAACGTGCAAGCACTTGCGACGGTTAATTCGAACATACCGCGCTTCGAAAATGCTCTCAACACCCCGCCCAATTCAGCAGCGGCACCTGCGACACCTCAACGCTGCGCACGAAGAAAATGAAAAGGAAAGAAAAGGCTGTGGTGGAATGTTTTCTCTCTCTCAAATGCCGATCTGCGACGTGCCCGTGTCACACTTCTCCCTTTTCTGTCCCTGCCACGTAAGGACCCTTCTCTTTCCAACGCCGTGCCCAAAGAGAGAGAGGAAAAAAAAAGGCTGTGGCTGGGTTGAATGAATGTGTGGTTGAAGGAAAGGAAAAAGGCACTATCTTCTGCAGCTGCAGCCCTTGCTCCTTGCGGGAGCACGGCTCTGCGCCTTGAGAAGAGGGGGTCTTTCACGTGCCAATGCCACGCTTCCCCCTTCCCCATCCCTGCCACGTAACCCTTCTCCTTTCAACGATGCCTGCGGAAAGAGAAAAAAAATTTTAAAAGCTGCCGTGGAATGTTGGTTTTCTCTCAAATGCTGATCTGCTTCTCTCCACGTGGAGACACTCCTCCTTTCTCGTCACGTGCTGGCCATGCTGCAGCTGCGTACGCAGTCGTTGTTGTCGTCGTCTTTAGAAAGTGTCGGCGCTGGACATTTCTGCGCGCAACTTCTATTGCCAGGAGAATTCTGAAGCCGAAGTAGAAATGCTTTGCAAGCTGCGTGCGAAGTTGATTGACTCGCTGCAAGGCAAACGTGTGCAGACGCACATCACCGATTACCTCAATTAATAACAGATGTCCTGTGATTTGTGAATAAATTTAAGTCTTCTGAAACTTCCCCCATGTGTGTTAGCTCAATGTGCATGCATCACTGCATGGAGAGCCCTCTTTTTATTTAGCTTTCATTAATTCGAACTTCTTTCAATTCGGACAAATTTTCGGGGCCCTTCAAGTTCGAATTATCGAGATTGGACTGTAATAACCGTGCTTGCCACGAAAAGACACGTACGTAGTACTCTAGGAAACGTGGAAAAATAAGCTACAGGTGATGACGCCACTTTGAAATTTCCACACCGATCGCCATGATGTCAATCATTTTGACCACGTCATCTAGGGTTTATGTTGTTGCTAATCAGTACTAAAAGTGAAGTACATTGTCCTCTCAGGAGGCAAGAGACTTGGCATACTGAATTTGAAGAAATTTCGTTTTGTCAATGCCCCCAAAATCCGAAAAGTACACTTTAAAATTCTTGACATCACAAGGGGAGCTTTTGGCACGAAATTTAAAAATGAAACTTCATGCTTGATTTTCTACTTTATTATTAAAACTACAATGGTGCAGTTAATAACATTAAAATTTCCAGAGTAAAATTTATCAATCTATATTGATTCACCGCTTCACTTTAGTGTGCCTTTAACCCTCAACTGAACACCGCATCTTAAGTTAAATACGCAGTCGTGGGTTTGATGACACCTGTAGTTTGCAGATTTGGTCACTGGATGATGGGGATGGCAAAGACTACATACCTTGGGATATACTGAGTTTCTTCTCTTGCAAAGACTCCTTGTTACATTTCCCAACTTTTTATTGGTGCCACATCTGTTCAGTTTAGCTGTAACAGCTCGATAACTCAAATTTTAAGTTGTTTTCGGAAGTTTATTTGAAATCTGGAAAAAAAAGGAAAGACATGGCCATGTTTGGTAGTTAGTTGCCTGCCAAAAAGTTAATGATCACATGCAAAATAAAGATTGTCATTTGCCAAGAATAATAAAAGACGAACGAAGAGGTGCTATGTTTGCTTGCTAAAAACATGAAGCCAACACACAATGAAGTCGGAGAGTGTAGAGAGCAAAAATACAGTTCCTTGTCATTGAAATAATTTTCTAATTATTTCTGCATTTATAATTAACTGAATAGTCACTTCTCTTTAGACTTTCTTTTGCCTTCATTCAAGTTTTATATTAGGTAAGGGGCACAAATGACTTGCATAGCCAAGAGCTTGAAAACTGTTCGGGTTTTATGAAGACCTCATTGGCTTAAAAGGACCCTGCAACACTTTTCAAAGTAACGATCGAATAGCATACTTAAAGGACTTTATTGCCTTGCAGATTGACCGCCACGAAAAAAAAAATGTTTAGTCCATCAACTAATGTGGAGTGACAGAGATTTGTTAGATGCTGTAACTGCATTCTCTCTTCTCTCATTCCTATCAAGTTCGCCAAATGCTAAACAGGGAGTGATTATGTAGGGTAAAGAAGTTAAGTCAGGTAGTGCATTATAAACATGAGCACTTTTTTTTTTCTTTCGAACGTGCCACTTACTTTCTATGTGATTATCGAGGCCAGTGTGGCGGCCTCGATAACTATGCAGTTGCGATACTCATATCAGCCAATGGCTGTGAATTCGGGTATCTAGCACGATCATTTGGGTGTATGACATATGTTGTCAAAAGAGAGGAGAACAATTTTTAGCTCACTTTAAAATAATTCCAGGGCTAGTGCTGCACTATAATGTTTTGCCTGTGCGTTCTCAGGAGCCTTGACTACTAGTTTGCTGACGACTATGCTGGAGAAAGTGTTGCAGGGCCTTAAAAATTTTTGTAAGGAATAAAGAAGAACTTAGCCTCCTCAGTGCAAAGGCACTGCACAACGTGACAGCAGTCTGGAGTCTTAACCAGACAGTGTAGCGCTAAGAATTACAAGTGTGGGGGAGCATTTATTTCCTAGATACAAACACTTCCTTGTGGTTGGAAAGGAGGAAGTAATCAAATTTTCCGCTCACTCAATGGAGAGAGACTTGTCGGAAGCAGCACCTTGAATAATCGCACCTATTACCCTTGAAGGAAGTCACTCCATTGAATACTCCTTCACATATGCAGGCAGATCTCGCATATTCCACATGCTTTGTGGGGTCATAACTAGACTCGCATAAAGTGCAACGTCCCAAGCCATCTTTTCGGTAAGACCTCGCCTTGTGACTGCACGGTTGCAGCAAAATGTTATGTGGAATTAAATTGCATATAAACAGATTTCGTTATGTTAAGACTCAATCGCATGAAGTGTTATGGTTATCAAGTGATAAAAGGCTGTTACAAAAATTTATTTTGTAAAATGTTCATTACATGGGACCATGTTACATATATACATATCTAATGAGCTCTTATCTTCTCCTTGGTGGCAGGTAATGAAAGTGTACAGCCGCACTATTATGCACCTGGCTCAGGTGCTGCTCTGGTGTCCAGAACCGCAAGTTCTGAAGTTTGGAGAACGCGTGTACCAACGCATGTTCGTCTGCTACGAAGGCACCACCAGAGAGGCATGCTTACGTTATGTATCCTCTTTTCATAGCCCAAACGATTCTGTTGACCGTGGGAAGCACTTTTCTCACATTTATGCAAATCTGCAAGGATCTACACTCAAACCTCAATATAAAAACCCGGATGTAACAGAATATTGGTTATAGAGAAGTAAATGAAGAATATTCTTGCCGTATATATGGTGTTTGGAACATACTTTCATAACATGTTTTCAAGTATAATGAACTTATGTAAGATGCAACTTTTTTTACAATGAAGTGTGACTGCACTATGAAGACATCTATCCATCAGCTTCCTCTCGTTATAATTAGAGCCATGATGTATGTACAGTGGAAGCTTTACTTGCTTTTTTCTTTCTTGCTCTCTTTGACTATATTTATCTGCGATATGGAACGACTCCTTGTTGTGTTATGACAGACTTATAGCCTTAATGTGCACGTGTTGATTAGGTATACTTGTATGCAGAGCACATGTGTGCGTGCCACAATGCGACGTGCGGTCTGTCACCGCGGCACCTTTTGTTGAAAGGGGTGCTAAAGCAGCTGTGCACATGGGCATCCTACCATGTACACTGGCTGGCCTCTCCAGTTGAATTGCCTGGCATGGTTGCTGTGCTCGTCAACTAAACGTAGACTGGGTGTCTCTTTCTCTGCTTCGTAGGGTCTGTTATATTTTTAAGTAGCAACACTGTGCTGGCTCGAACTCATCGCCTTTGTTCTGTTTTTTTTTTTATCGGGCGGAGTGTTGCTTTCCTAATGCATTCAGATGGCTCACGCAAAACGAGTTGTATATTCAGCAGCATTGTATTATCACAAACAGTTCTCATGTTTGCTGACACACATCAAGCACGGCATGTTGAAGCGGAATAAATGGGAGAACAAAAAAGAGAGAGAAAGAAAGGAAAAAACAATACACACCGTGTATGCGAGCTAGCCCAGCTGCAGCAGCTGCGTAAAGCAATGGTGCAGATATGACAGAGCAGAGAAAGCAACAACCAGCTGATGCTCAGTCGACGAGTACTGTAACTGCATCAAGCAAAGCTACTTGACAACAAACAGCTATAATGGGACGTACACATGCACTACTGATCTTTGGGTTGTCTCAATGACAGGTGCCACGCGCGCAGACAGCACATAGATGCAATTTGGCACGCACTCTCGTGGTCCACATACTTTTACTCGCGGTTGTACATGCTGTGTGCTGAAGCATTATACAAAGTTCCAATAGTGCTATGAAGACATTTGCCGCAAGAATCTGTCGCAGACAACAAAACACAATGGTGCAGTGAAATTAGATGACCACACAGTGTGCTCATTCGGTCACAGATGTCACCACTAGCTCTGCTGTTTCCAACTCTGTGCTGTTCTTACAAGGGCTCAAGACATTGGCTAATGCTGCAATAAGTGTCAGCCTTGCTGGATAAGTGGCTAAGGTGCTCGACTGCTCACTCAAAGGTCACAGGTTCAATCCCTACCGCGGAAGTTGCATATTGATGTAGCTGAAACGGTAGAGGCCCATGCATTGTGCAATCTCAGTGCACGTTAAAGAACACCACCTGGTCAAAATTTTCGTAGCCCTCCACTACGGCGTCTCTCATAGTCATATCGTGGCTTTGGGACGTAAAACTCCACATAATGTTATCATCTTGCGATGACTCGTGCTGTGCGTAATGCTCGTTCAACCCTCTTTCCAGGAAGTGGTGCTGAACCTTGTCACCCATTTTGGAAGCGGTGTCACCTCACAAATGGACGCTGCCTTTGATTGTGCCTTGGAACTTGTTCGTCAGCACACGATCCTCATGGCCCCATATGGTGGTTTCTTCAAGGTGAACAATTCTGCACTTTTTCATCTGTGATTAGAATGCACATATCCTATGACTTTTACAATCGACTCACGTTTATGTGAAGTTCACGAGAACCGCAAAAATAACTTCTAATTATACGAACTACCAATACACAAAATTTGCAAGAAACTGTACCTTTAATTAAAAGCTTTAAACATTACGATTCCCTTAAAAATATTCTCATCATCTTCTGCTTCTGTCTGCCAAATCTGGCTGTGGCTAGCAAGTTTTCCAAGCAGTGCACATGTCGAAGTTCTTTGTAAGCATTGTCGTCTCTAACAAAGTCAAAAAACTGCTGCGCAAGAGCAAGCTCTGCAGCTATATCGGTAGCCCTCCATGATAGCTCGTTGCCGATGTCGTCATAGTGCAATTATGGAATGCAATTACAGGGGCTGAACCATCTGCATGATTTCGCTGTCCATTAGTGGACGGCATGTTTCGATGTTGCTGTCCATGGCAATTAACTCTTCAAAATGGACATTCCCAAGAGTGGTGCCAAAACTGCCATCGTCTAGTTCACCTCTTTGCACTTTCTGAAATTCGAGAGCATGTTAGGCTTCGTGCTGTACTTTTGTGTAATGTCTAGCTTGTGTGATGTCGTTGAAATGTGGCACTTCATTCTTGAGTCAAGAGCCTTTGAGGCTCTTGATTGAAAAATAACTTTTAATTAACCAGCATTACGGACTTTTAACTTCAAATTATTGAGCATTTTTTTCTATAGGCTCTCAAAACACCACTTAGTGGTACTACACCTCTGGACAGGCAACACCATCTCTGGCAGAAAATGCAAACTGGGAATGCACGTCGCGCGTTTTTCCTTCTTTCCGCCGCCTCGCTGCTGCTCGCATCCATGCACGTGCAAAACTCTCACGCTGCACTTGCAGCGCCACACAATGTACCGCTTGAAAGAGTTCTCCCAGCTGGACAGACACTTCGGAAAGCAAACGTAATCAAAGCAAAAAGTTCGTTAATTATGTTTGTAATGTCGAGCAGACAACAGTGACGCTTGATTTAACATGAAATACAGTTCCTAAGTCCACAACATTGCCGTGTACGACAGTAATCGTTGAGGTGAGCTTCATACCGTCATCCATGAAAAATAGCTGATGGTCTATGTGCACTGCGAAAGAAAGCCACACACTCGATTGCTGTTCCAAGCTGTCGGCATGCAATGATAAGCATGTGATTGTTGTTTTGGGGAGCATGCTGGCAGCAGCAAATGCATACTGTCGCGAACGAACTTTTGTGGCAGTGCAAAAATAATAAAAAATTACATGGCCATGGCACTAAAGAGCCTGATAAGGGCCCTCTACCGCTGGAACATCACTTATTGACTTAGCTGCGAGGAAGCTAGCTTAGCTTTAACCGCTGCGTAGCAAGTTGGACTGCTGACCTCGCTTGTTTTCCTCGCACTTCTTTTCATGAAAATATCGACTTTACTGGTGTATCAGACTTGCTGTGCGAACACGGCTCAGTAAGGATAGGTGCTGAATTTCAGGCACGATGTGATATCAGCACGCAATGAGCTCGCGCAATTAGCGCACACATAAACGCACCCTCAAAGTACTGTACGGAGCATAGCATGCATACACATGGTGCGCAGGAAAGAAAACAGTACATCTCCGAAGGTGACGACTACAATTCAGGTATTAAGTGCCACTTTTATGATCAGCGGCTCGAATGAATAGCACCCTAAGCGACAAAAATAGACCAAACCAACAAATTGACGTCAAAGTTTGCTGAAAATGCACATACGCTCGTTTCAGCGCAATGATGCAACCTTCCTAATGTGTGAGTTGCAGGTGGTGAACCTTTTACAATGTGTGCAGTTCATTTGAAAGCAACCAACAACATAACACTAACTGCTGTATGACACATGGGTGAACAGTCATCAACGATCGCTTACATCTCACAAACACAAGGAATCAAAACACAAAGTTGTTTCAACCTACAGCCGTAACAGGACTTTCACAATGTGGGGAGACAGCGAGCAATCATTTCTGCAGTCAGTTGCATGTACAAGCCACATTACGTACTGATTCAGGTAGTCAAAACAAATGATTTCAAGCGAAAAATTGCGACAATCAAAACGGAAGGTGAGACAGAGCTAGAACTTACTTTATTCTTTTAACTGCGGTGATCCACGCTTGTTCTCTTTCTCTCTGCCCCGCAGTGGTGGTCTAGTGGCTAAGGTACTCAGCTGCTGACCCGCAGGTCGCGGGCTCAAATCCCGGCTGCGGCGGCTGCATTTTCGATGGAGGCGGAAATGTTGTAGGCCCGTGTGCTCAGATTTGGGTGCACATTAAAGAACCCCAGGTGGTCGAAATTTCCGGAGCGCTCCACTACGTCGTCTCTCATAATCATATGGTGCTTTTGGGACGTTAAACCCCACATATCAATCAAATCTCTTTCTCTCTCATACGACTTGTCTGGCAACAGATAGCTTTATATATGGATCGCGTGCTTGGTACTGCGCTGTTGTGGCACACAACAATACTTTGGATCTCAATGACGCTCCTACAGGGTCACTTCTGTCCATGGCGAAATGGCAACTTCGAACAGCGAGCGTCTCAGTTCAGAGGCCCTAAGCTGATGGCAAGGCACCGAAGTTTTCCGCACCGACGGCAGAATGCGTGCTGTGTGCACCGCGCTTGCTCTCGCTGAGGTTAACCACGTTGAATCAGCCGCACCCTCTGCCACGCTTCTGTCCAAGCAACTGCCGCCAGAGCTGCAGCACGACGTTGTCGTTGCCCTGCAAACTTTAGCTTTGGGTTCCTATTGACAATTTTCTGCAGTGGCGCACGGGTGCTGCCATGTTCAATCATGTGACCGTAACTGGTCTTCCCCAGCCAGTTGCTACAGCCAAAGTGTTAAGCCAGCGAAGCGGTCGTGGCCGAAAGTGCCGGTAGCTGGGGTTAGAGGCCAACATGGCAGCACCCATGCCGACGTGGCCGCCCGCTCCGATCCAAACTCATGCTTGCTACTCGCCCACTGTCGTCACAGCAATTAATAAATTATAAAATCAACTACCGCTTTGTGTTATCTCATGCTGGGGACAAAACATCAGGTATGTTCTGTCTTTATTAAGGAGATTAGGGGTGTTTGTTTTAGCCATGTCTGCTAAGCCTTGTCTCCGATAATTTGAGAATTAATCTTGAAAACACTGCAAAGATATCGACGAATGCATTGCTCGTGAAGCTTCAGGATGTAAATATAAAGAAAATAAGCACATGCTTTGTGAACTTACGGGCCACACAGCGAAGGACAACCACACGATAAGATCAAGGCGGGAGGATAGTGCACTCACAGGGATCGCCATGTTGACTTTCCCGGCGCATACGTCTGCTTCGCTTTCCCTACCATGGCCGTCTTTTTTGCCGTGGCTTTCTGCAGCACTGCTCAACATTCGCGTTGCGTCCTCAGCTCGGCATCCCCACAGCATCTGCTTTGCTTTTACTCGCATGCACGGAGACTCTACGGGGACGCCAAGCAAACGACACGACACGGTTGTTGAGCAGTGCTGCAGAAAGCCACTGCAAAAAAAAACGGCCATGGTCGGAAAACGCCCAAAATGTTGTAGTGGCTTCTAGTTTTGATTGAACAAACCAGCTGCAGAAAATTGTCTATAGGGCTGCATGCCAAAGTCATGAATTAAGCAACTTTGAATTATTGAGCGTTAGTTGTACTAATTTCTGTTTACTTTTTGCTCATTTTTTAAAATTTTCACACATTTTGACATTTGCAAGTTTTCTCTATATCCTTGTTGACACAGCACTTCCTAATACGTCATCAAAGGTTTGTGTTCAAGTCCGCTTTACTGTGACAAAAGTTAAAAAGCTATAGCTGGGTCTGCCTTGTCCATCCATTCTTCACACTACTCTGAAAAAGACGATCTCAGTGACCAACAGTGATAATGGGCTGATCTTATGTCAACATAACTGATTGGAGAGTTGGGCATTATAGACAGTACGAAATGTATCTGCAATTCACCATTCTTTGTCTGTAATTTATCAGCACAGCAAATCATCGGGAGTGGTCAAAACTGACAGGAGGTTCTCTCCCGGCCTGTTGAACACTTTGTGTTTGTCTTTGTGAAAAGTAATACGATTATGATTTTCTTTTCCAGTCCACGTTAGCGTTTGCACTTGAAACTATAGGTGAATACAAGGAACATACTTTGACACGTGAAGCGAGTTCATTTTAATGCATATGGATCATTTCCTTATGACCCCTGAAATGTAACTCACATTATTCTGCTGTGTTTTATGTCACAAATGCAGAGCACCCTGGACATACTGCGGAACCTCTCGCTGTGCCAGATTCGCACACTTTTCCTGATCATTGCTCTCATAGCCTACCGCGGAGGCCGACAGGGTGAAACCTATCGAGTAAGTAGGATGGCATGCCGTTTCACGGCATGCTATATATTTTGCGTCGTACTGTGATGGGTAACTATGTAGACTAATACTGCCTAGGGGACTTCATTTTGGCTCTCAGAGGCAACTATGTTGTAATGCATTCTCTGTCTATCTGTCAATCCAACCATAGTGGGATTTGTGAAGTCAGTCATGCTCGTCCTGCATTTAGAACTTAGGAAGAAAAATTTAATGTGCACTAGTGTCTTACGAGATATTTCAGCATAGACACAAAAAAAATCGCACCATATCCCGCTAAAGGAAACCATGTGTAGATGCGAAGCAGCGGGCTCTAACGCTTACAGTGGCCGCAGCATTGATGCTAGTGCTCATCGCGGCCTTGCGCAAAAGATAGACCTGGGAAAGTGCAAAGCATGCAGTGATCGACCGGTGTTTCTTTACTGGAACATGCTAATTGCTGCTAATGGGCAATAAGGGACAGATGACTTGCATCTGAAAAAAAATTTATGAAAATGTATCGCGATGCAATTTCAAGACACTAGTAATTTTTTTGTCATACCAGATGCTGATACAGTGATATCCTCATTTCACTAAAGTGTAGTTTTAACTAAAGTTATGTTTTTTTTATGCTCCACAGGACGAGTTACACATGGTAATACGCAAGATGGTGATGAAATCTTGCCCCAGGTGATTTTTTTTTCTTCTTTCATTAAGATGTCATGGTGCTAGTGGTTGGATCAAAACTCTTGTAAAGACATTATTTAAGCCTGTGCTGTTTTCTTTACTTATATGTCATCTGTCTAAGACTATACAATGTAAATTTTTGCTTTTAACACTTGTTGAACCAAGTTCAACAAGTGTTAAAAGTCATGAGCTTCTGTGAAGAGTTGTCATTAAAGAATTTGTGCTCTAGTTACTCTGTTTGCCCCCTATGTGTTTTTGATACCTGAACATATTGGCCTGGTGGATAGTTTTTTTTTCATGCCAAATAATCTCACACAATTGTTTAGAAATATTTGCTCGGGTAACTTTCTTGCAGGTCTAAGAGGATCGGTGTTGTTGCGGCGCTCATGACAGTGAAAGCCATGGCCTCGACCAAGTGAGCTCTGTTTTATTTGCAGATCCTGCCATACACTCATGCCTCGGTATGAAGAACCTGGATATAACGAAATATTGATTTTAACGAAGTAAATTAAATTAGCATTGCAGTAAATGTAGTGTTAGAAATAAATCTTTAGAATGAATTTTCGAATATAACAAACTTACTTTCCTGTAAGGCACAACTTTGTTGTGATAATGAGGTTTGAATGTACTTCCATTTGGCCATGCTGCTGATATAAATTTACTTTAGCTTCAAGGTCTTTTATTTACTGCTTTTACACCATGGCTCCTCCTTGCATTGCTGTCTTCGAACTGCTGTATTATATTGTCGCGTATTGCAAGAGGGGAACAATGATTTATTATGGGCAAACTTGTGCCCAAAAAGCAGGTATAATACAAATGGAAGAGTCGCAAAGCACTTCACACACGTGTCCCTTTTCAAACAACTCTAGGTCAGTCTCTCGGCTCGTGCTCATACACGAGAGGCATGCGAGGCACTGTAGATGCCCACCTAGTGTCTCGCTGGTTCTCTTGGTACAGAGATTATTAAGGAGCAATCTCTGTGGCAATATTGTCGGTCATGAGAAGCTTGTCATATAAAGCAAACCAGGAATTCCTCGGTTCTCATTTTTAGGTCAGCCTCATAACACCGTTTTATGAATGGGTACTTCTCAGCACAACCATAATATGCATGTAAAATTATCAAAATAAGTGATAGTCAATGTAAAATACCGTGCAGTAGGAAATGAAAAGGATACAAATTTCTCATAGGCTCATTCTGTGAAACCTGCCATATTTACATGTATGATACACTAGTACTGGCCAACGTAAACTGACTTCCGGCTATAATTGGCCGCATTTCAATATGCTCCACTGCTTAGTGCACGTGTCAACGAAACCCAGACGAGTGAAATGGTTTGCAAACATGACAGTACCCCTTAATTAAGTGAACTTGCTACAATATTTGAGCGAATAGCAGCAGTAATCTAGTAGCTTCATAGCTCATGTGTGCTAATGGCTAACTGTTTATAACTTTCTGAGCGAAAACAGCATTGTGCGGTGCTTGTCTCACAGGGGAATCAAGACGAGCGAATCGCTTCAGCTGTCTGCGTCCACGTCATCAAGCCACGCTACTCCTGAGGAACTTGTCCGATCCGCAGTCGAGCTCCTTGAGCTCGTGAGAGCATCAACTGCCTGCTGGCCTCAGGCTATGTCTCTCTTTTACGACGAGCTCAGCCGTATCGTCGTACGGGGAGAGCTCGGGCAGAGCATTGAGGTAGGCCTTAGCTGCCTGCAGTGTTTATATCAGTGATTTGTCTGTTCACAGACTAAATGTAATTTATGGTTATTCTTTGTCAGAAAATTAACCTGAGTGCAGTTTGGCTTATATGGTATAAATATATTTGAGCTCAGACTTAAGAAACGGAATAATTTACATGGCCTTTCATTGTAATACTTTCTCACTTATTGCACCCCAAATGTCTTTAGCTGATGTCTGTGATGACAAATGTGGTACTTGTGTGATGGGGCGATGTCACCATGTAAGAATCGTTTAGATAAGTCATTTCACGAATGCTTGAACTAGTACTGAAGTTAAGACTTAAGGCTTTTATCTTTTTTTTTTTTAATGAGAGGGGGTTTTGGGGAAGGGTCAGATGTGAAGCAACTTCAAACAAGCTTTTTAACTGGAGCTGTGTGATTCATGTGTTTGTAGCTCTTGAAAGTAAGAGTAGCTACCGAAAATTTACCTGGTGTGACACAGGTGTCACTAGTTGCAAACATTGTTGCTGTATTGACAGTTGATAAAGATATGCCCTTTCTGGCGTTTCTGGCATTGAATGCTTTTTCTGGTTGAAATTGGCTTTTGTAGTTTCATCTTATCTTGATGCGTTTTGTCTTGTTATATTGCAGACCTGGATTAGCGACACCATTATCAATGACTTTCAGGACGATTACATTGTTGACGTTATACAAGGGGAACTGGAGCAAACGTGAGTCTTTGAATTACGCCTGTGCTGAAGCACTTTTTGTGAAAGCAAGATAGCAAGGTACCAGCTTCCAGTGGCATCTGGTTAACAATCTTATTTCGTCTTTTAAAAGTGGTCATGTACCACCCCTAGGGTTTGTTGAAAAAATACACCCTGCGGAAAGCATACACTGCTATGAACAGGTCAGCTAAGTCTTGCATTTGTACACAGCAGGAAGCGTTTAGAAGCATAGTGCAATGTTGCCATGTTTTCTAGCGTGCTTTAGCACCAGCCATTTCACATCGAACAACGAATAGCATGTGTTGGCCAAAAGCTGACATAAATCCAGAGCAGCATTTGAATCAGATGCGCTCTTTGCCATGGGGTGCCACCACTTGCGGGGGCTGCTTTCCATTATGCATTATTCACACTGTTGCACAACAACATCACGCAGTGTTCACACTTGCGCATACGAATCACTGCAGGATGGGGCGATCGCATTTTTTAACGTGTTGTCAGGGTCATAACACGCACTCACGCAACTTTTTCTCTCCGTGCCGTCTTTCCCTGTGTATCTTTCAGTGTGCTCATCAGGTCAAGAAAATAAAGAATATTGATAATAATATCAGAGGTTTAACGTCTCAAAACCACTATTTGATTATGAGGGACGCCGTAGTGCAAAACTGTAAATTTCGACCACCTGGGGTTTTTCAATGGTCACCTAAATGTACTAAATACACAGACTTCCTGCATTTTCGGTGAAAGCAAAAAGGCAATCCCATGACCTTCTGGTCAGTGTTTGAGCACCATAACCTTTAGACAAACTTGGTGAGTTGAAAGAAAAAACAGAGCGTTTGAAGGGCCACTAAGTAGGCTCCTAATGTTTTTTTTTACATCTCTCAAATAAGATTGCCAATCCGTGCATACAGCTGTAGCGACCACATTTTGCGAATACTGCAGCGTGCACAGCACGCTGTGCAGATGCTCCACTTTGAAAAATAATTCAGCACCTGTGCAATCCACCTTGCATGCCTAAGTGATTTGGGGAACATTATGTTGCATCCTACTTTGGAAATTAGTCCTCTGCGCTACAAAACAGCTTAGCCGTGCATATACTGTGTTTCTTCACTACACTGCTAGAGCTGCTTTGACGCGAGCAACACATGGAGGAAGCTTTGCTCGGTAGTTGGTTGTGTACCAATGGTATAACTGTTGCCGTTCTGTTAACTTACCAAAGTGTGTAGTCTATAGGTCGGCAAACTCATTTATGTGTCAACTCACTCAGACTCAGATGAAGCTGTGAGTTGGAGTCCAAGCGAGTCCGGTTGAACATTTTCATGCGTGCGAGTCCGATTGAGTCTGGCTCTAGAAAATTTTGGTGGGTCTTAGTCCAAGTGAGTCCAAAGCGCAAGATATATTTCTTAGATGAGTCGTGAGTCCACTTTTGTTTGTCGACCTATAGTCCTATCTACTTATCTTTATCATTACTATAAGCCTTACCTGGATTCACATTTATACTTCTGTCTGCTCACGAGTAATTCAGAGCAGTAGCATATATAAATCATTTCAATATATATTGATCAGAGCTATGAATTACGTTAGGGGGTTGCCTTGAACTCCACCTCCACCTGCTTATCCAGGAAAGTTCCTGATAATTATATTTTTTTGTTGCCATCTCTTGTTTTTGTTGTTATATCGTGGTTTTGGGACGTTTAACTCCAGATATTATTATTATTATTATTATTATTATTATTATTATTATTATTATTATTATTATTATTATTATTATTGATCCCTTCCATGAAAAATGTGCTTACTGTTCAACCACTCATAACCGAAAGTTCTATATCAAAAGGCGCCAAGAGGAGCACCGATTAAGTGAGATATCGGTGTTAAAGAGCTTTGACACCATAGTCGAGAAAGCTAGTTCTGGACTATCAGACTCAGATCAAGCCGCGAGTCAGAATCTGAGTGAGTTTGGCTAAGTAATGTTTGAGTCCAAGTGAGTCTGGCTCAGGTAAATTTTGGTGAGCCCGAGTCTGAGTGAGCCCTAAGTACAAAGTATATTTCATCAGTCTGAGTGAGCTCGACAATTTTTGCCAAGATATGGTGTAGTCACAACAGTGGGCTATGCCTGTCCCTCCTGCCCATCAAAAAGGTTGGGAAGGCCGAGCGAGAAACAGAAACCAGCCCAAACGAATTGTCCCCTGTGTAATGATGAATGTAGTGGGTCATGCATAGCTCGGAAAACACATCGTCAGTGCTAAGCATGAGACACTCGCGCCGGACGTTATCGTTATCGCTGCTTTCGCTGGCTAGGCCTACGCTCCTACCTAGTTTCAAATAACAGTTCTGACGGTCTCGGTTCTTTATTATATTTGGTGGAGTTTGCTTGGTCTCCTCGCAATCCTGGAGTTGCGAAGCCGGACTCGACCTGCCACTATGACTACTGCATCTGCCACAAGCTCGCCGCCTATGGCTCCCCAGGCCATCGTGTGCTCCAGCGCAGTCCGTCAGCAGGACCCTCCCATATTCAGCGGCACGGACGATCATGACGTCGATGACTGGCTGGCTACCTACGAACTTGTGAGTGTCTTGAACAAATGGGACAAAGCCACGAGACTGACCACCGTCGGCATTTACCTCAGTAGCATTGCCCACTTGTGGCTTCGGAACCGTGAAACCGACGTTCTAACCTGGACAGAATTCAAAACAAAGTTCAGTGAAGTCTTCGGTCGTCCTGCTGTTCGCAAACTTCGTGCGGAGCAGCGCCTTCAGTCAAGATCTCAACTGCCTGGTGAGAATTTCACCAGTTACATAGAAGACGTCATTGACTTGTGCAAACGCGTTGATGCGAACATGACAGAGGTGGACCGCATCAAGCATATTTTCAAGGGTATCGACGAGGATGCATTCCAGATGCTCATTTCAAAAAGCCCGGCTACTGTCGCTCAAGTTACCGAGCTCTGCCAAAGCTATGATGAGCTCCGCCGGCAACGCCTCGTCACCCGCCGTGCTGTCCCCCATCAGGAATCGATGTTCGGCTTGACTCTCTCGCAAGATCCCGTCCTCCTCTCGCAGATAAAAGATTTTGTACGTGAAGAAGTTGCCCGCCAACTGTCGCTCATCTCCGGCCTACCGGAGCGCAGTGCACCGCTTAGCCCTGCACTGCGGGCTATTATACAAGACCAAGTGTCTGAGGCCCTTCCTCCACAGCTGGTACCACCAGTCAATGCGCCATTGATGTATGCCGAAGCAGCAGCACGACCACAACCACACACGTTCCGAGCGCCGCCTCCACTGCCTGCTCCTGTTTATACCACCCAGCCGCCACGACCTCCAGTCCACCGAGTCCCTAATCCATGGCGCACTGCCGACAACCAACCGATCTTTTCGTGTGGTCTACCCGGACACGTCGCACGTCTTTGCCGCCGCCGCCCGCTCCATTCACGTGAAAACCCGCGTTCATATGAGTATGACCACACATTTCCCTACACTCCAGACCCCGAATTGCACCCTCCTCGACCAAGCCAACGACCACCTTCTGATCGCCGATCTTCTCCATGTCCTCGCTCCCCCTCCCCATGCGCCGACGCCCCCCGACAATCGAAGCGGAAAACTTAATGGCGCAGTTCCCGAGGCAAGAACTGCGTCCTCGTCGCAAAGCACAAACCCTCTTCGTTCGCCGCCGAATGTGATTAATGCTGTTCTTGAAGGTGTACCTGTACTTGCCCTTATTGATACTGGTGCCGCCATTTCTGTCATTCCCGAAAAAGTTTGCCGTGCAATTCGAAAAGTGACAACGCCTTACTTGGGTTCGTTTCTTCATACTGCCACTGCACAGCCTGTGCAGCGTGTGGCGGAGTGTACCGCCAGACTTGTAATTCAAGGGGCGCCTTACACAGTGCAGTTAGTAGTACTCCCGCACTGTTCTCACGACATCATTTTAGGCTGGGATTTTCTCTCCCATCACCAAGCTGTCATTGATTGTGCCCGTGCCGAAGTTATCTTTTGTCCTCTTGGTGATGGATGCTCTACCTGCGGATGATTGCCCTTCCTACGCGAAGTTGGTCATTAGTGACGACACTCGTATCCCTCCGCGCGCTACTGTCTTCGCATCTGTGTCGTGTTCCGCCGTCGTCGACGCTAACGCACTCTTCACGCCTTCCGCTGCTTTCGTTCATGGCCACCTATCACCGCTCCCAACCGCTCTCGTTACTCTTCAAGGTGGTGGGACCAACGTGCCTGTGGGGAATCCTTTCCCATTCACGATTACGCTGCTTCGGGGCGAATGTATCAGCTCAATCGAATCATTCGAAACCATCGCTACACTTGACGTTCCTGATGGATCATCGGAAGTCAGTGCCTTCTCCTGTAGGTCCGGGAATGGCCCTTCCACTGCCGACATTCTCAACCGTGTAATCAACGAAGACCTAAACCCACGACAGAGGTGTGAGTTTTTGAGCCTCCTTGACAAGTTTTGGCCATATTTTGACAGTCACAGCACTACCTTAGGTCGAACATCTACTGTATGCCACCAGATCGACACAGGTAATCATCCACCACTACGGCAGCGACCGTACCGTGTTTCACCGACTGAACGCCGTGTCATCGATGAACAAGTAGGTGACATGCTAAAGCGCGGCGTCGTTCAACTATCAAACAGTCCTTGGGCGTCGCCGGTTGTTTTAGTTAAAAAGAAGGATGGCACAATACGCTTTTGCATAGATTATCGTCGCCTAAACAAAATAACACGAAAGGATGTTTATCCTTTGCCTCGGATTGATGACGCCCTCGACTCTTTACAAGGTGCAGAGTTCTTTTCCTCTCTTGATCTGCGCTCTGGGTATTGGCAAGTGCCCGTGAATCTGAATGATAGACCAAAAACTTCCTTTGTTACACCAGACGGCTTATACGAATTTAACGTGATGCCATTGAGCCTATGCAATGCGTTGGTTACATTTGAGCGCATGATGGACACTATCTTACGAGGCCTCAAATGGAACACGTGTTTGTGCTGCCTA